CTTGTCTTGCCCCTAGCATTCGGATGCTCGGGGCACTCCGATGCTAGGGGTATGTTCGGGAATATTGTTGATTTATTATTATTTTGCACGTCTCGTCTTTTATTATTTAGACTCGACTTCCGACAATCGGTTTCGACGCTCTAAGCTCGAATTACCGACGTCTAATTATTTAACACTCGGGCGACGAATTAATTTCTTCCGAATTAATTCGTCGAGTTGGTTCGCATATATTTGCTTGGGTGTGACCCGAAGGGTTTAATCAAGATTAAGCTGTAATATTAATTATATTAATATTACTGATCGGAAGCGGCCTCCACCCAGGCATTCCGATCACTTGACTTTACTGAATATATTAGCTTTCTAATAATTCTGAACCCGCTATCAGAATAATACACTTGTTCGAAGGACACTATTCCTTTCATCAGGGATATTAGCCTTCAATTTTAGAATTCTTCGACTTTTTTTCGCCCGGATATAAAAATAGGAAAAATGTCTACTATGGTCACTAATACCCTGCGGAAGTCCAATTGGATGGGTGGAACCATCCAATTTGTCTTTAAACGACCAATTTATCGATTTACAACTTGCACCGATTTCATTAACTCAAGCCTACCACGAACATTAATGACAACATATAATGTTCATATATGGTTCCAAACGTCATTATATGATCCCGAGATGTATTCCCTAAAATCTGAACGCTTTTCGACACCGTGACACAAAACCTCCGAAAATTCTCAAAAAACGTGGATATAAGCCTTCAATTTTTGAATTTTTTGACTTTTTTCGCCCGCAAATAAAAATTGTCAAAATTTTTACCATGGTCCCTAATACCCTCCGGGAGTCCATTAGGGTGGGTTGAACTATCTAATTTGCCTTTAAACGGCCAATTTACCGAATTACAAGTAACTTGCACTGATTTCATTAAATCAAGCCTACCATGAACATTTATGACAACATATAATGATCATAAATGGTTCCAAACAGCATTATACGACCCCGAGATCACTACTACAAAAAACCCCTAATAAGTCGGACTTTTAGAGTCACCTGTACATAAGGTGCGACTTATAAACCTATCGAGTCGCCTCATATTATTAGGTGACTTGTTAAGTTGGGGTTAAAATCAACAAAGCACCTAATGAGTTGCCTAATATATATGAGGTGACTTGATAAGTTAACAAGTCACCCCATATATGCATGCGACTCTATAATCCGACTTATTTGGTGGTTTAAATTAGATTTTCAAAGTCACATGTACATAAGGTGCGACTCGAAAGCCTGTCGAGTCGCCTTATACATATTAGGCGACTCAATAGGTGAGTTTTCTTATCTATGACTCTCACCTAATGAGTCGCCTGATATTTATAAGGCGACTCGATAGGTTAAAAAGTCGCACCTTGTATACAAGTGACTTTAAAAATCTAATTTAAGCCACCTATTAAGTCGGGTTATAGAGTCACATGCATATATGGTGCGACTTGTAAACCTATCAAGTCACCTCATGTATATTAGGCGACTCATTAGGTGCTTTGTTGATTTTAACCCTAACATAACAAGTCGCCTAATAAGTATGAGGCGACTCGATATGTTTACAAGTCGCACCTTATATATAGGTGACTCTAAAAGTCCGACTTGTTAGGTGCTTTATTATATGACCACTACCTAATAAGTCACATGATACGTAAGACGCGACTCGATAGGTTAATTCTAAAAATGTATATAAAATAGTTACAATATCATATATATATATATATATATATATATATATATATATATATATAGATATATATACATATATATATATATATATATATATATATATATATAGATATATATACATATATATATACATATACATACATATATATATACATATATATACATACATATATATATATACATATATATACATATATATATATATATACACATACATATATATATATACATATATATATATATACACACATATATACACACACACACACACACACACACACATATATATATATATATATATATATATATATATATATATATATAAGTAACTTTGGCATAATTGCAAGAACTTCAACCTTCCAGGCAAAGAACCAGAGATCAAGCATGTTGAGTGTCATAAACACTAACATTATATGAGCTAATAAAAAAAGTTGGAAAAAATGTTGATTTTTTACATGTCACCTCTTTCAACACAAGCGACACAATAGCTTAACAAATAGAGTCGCCTAACAACTAATAGGTGACTTATATAAAAGCTATCAAGTCGCCTCAGAGGCAACTCCTAAAGTTGGAAGTTATTGTGTCGGTGGCTGTGGAGTCGCCTTTAAAGCGACTCGTTAGGTCATTTATAGGCGACTCGATAGGGGTTTTTTGTAGTAGTGGATGTATCCTCTAAAATTTAAAGACTTTTCGACACCGGGCCTCGAAATCTGCAAAATTTCTTAAAAACGTGGATCATAGCCTTCAATTTTGGAATTTTTTTGACATTTTTCGCCCAAAAACAAAAATTCCCGAAATGTTTATCATGGTGTCTAATATCCTCTGAGAGTCATATTTAGTAGGTGGAACTAACCATCCAATTTTCCTTTTAACGCCAAATTTTCTGGTTTACAACTTGCACCATTTTCATTAACTCAAGCCTACCACGAACATCTATGACAACATATAATGATCATAAATGGTTCCAAACCGCATTATATGACCCCCATATGTATTCTCCAAAATCTCAAGACTTTTCGACATCGGGCCCCACCTCCAAAATTTCTCAAAAAGCGTGGACATTAACCTTCAATTTTTTGAAATTTTTGACTTTTTATCGCCAAAAAATAAAAATTGCCGAAATGTTTACCATGGTCCTTAATACCCTCAGGTAATCCAATTGGGTGGGTGGAACCATCCAATTGCCTTTAAACGTCTAATTTACCGGTTTACAACTTGCACCGATTTCATTAAATCAAGCCTACCACGAACATTTATGACAACATATAATGATTATATATGGTGTTAAACGTCATTATATGACCCCGAAATGTATTCCCTAAAATATCAAGACTTTTCGACACCGGCCCCGAATCCTCTTAATTTCCTCAAAAAGCGTGGATATTAGCCTTCAATTTTGTAATTTTTGATTTTTTTCGCCCAGAAATAAAAATTACCGAAATGTTTACCATGATCCCTAATACCGTCCGGGAGTCCCATTGGTTGGGTGGAGCCTTCCAATTTGTCTTTAAACGACCAATTGACCGGTTTACAACTTGCACCGATTTCAGTAACTCAAGCGACAAGCCTACCACGAACATTGATGACTACAAATAATGATCATATATGGTTCCAAACGGTATCTATGACCCCGAGATGTATCCCCTAAAATTTCAAGACTTTTAGACACCGGGCCCCGAAACCTCCAAAATTTCTTAAAAAACATGGGTTTTAGCCTTCAATTTTGAAATTTTTTGACTTTTTTTCGTACGGAAATAAAAATTGCTGAACTGTTTACCATGGTCCCTAATACATTCCAGGAGTTCAATTGGGTGGGTGCAACCATCAAATTTGCCTTTAAACGACCTATTTACCGGTTTATAACTTGCACCGATATCATTAAATCAAGCCTACCACGAACATTTATGACAACATATAATGATCATATATGCATGGTTTCAAACTTCATTATATGACCCCGAGATGTATTCCCTAAAATCTCAAGGCTTTTCGACACCGGGCCCAGAAAACCTCAAAAATTTCTCAAAAAGCGTGGATATTAGCCTTCAATTTTGGAATTTTTTGACTTTTTTTTTCCCGGAAATAAAAATTGCCAAAATGTTTACCATGGTCCTTAATACCCTACGAGAGTCCAATTGGATTGGATATTTGTATGTGTGGAACCATCCAATTTGCTTTTAAACGACCAATTTACCGGTTTACAACTTGCACCGATTTACCGGTTTACAACGACCAATTTAATTAACTTCTACCGAGCCTGACTTAAACTGAAATTGACCCTAACATGTTTTTACCCGTCAAAACCCGAATTTAACCTGACTTGTTACTAACCTCAACTGAATTCAGCCCAACCCATTTCTAACCCGACCCGAATTTAACCCAACCTGTTACAAACCCGACCCGAAATCAACCCGAATTGTTATTGACCTGACCCAAATTCAACCGACTTGTTACTAACCTCACCTGAATTCAGCCCAATCCATTTCTAACCCGACCCGAATTTTACCAGACCTATTACTTACCCGACCCAAAAATTCAACCCGATATGTTACTAACCCGACTCGAAATTAACACGACTAGTATTGACTCGACCTAAATTCAACCCAAATTATTCATGACCCGATTTCAAATCACCTTAAATGCAATTTAGACCACCTTATTATTGTTGATCAAAGCATTATATCTAGGGAGACCAAGTCGGTCCACAAAAATACTTGCGTGGACCTAGTCCACAATAATATTATTGTGGACCCGATGTTTATACACACGCAACTAACATTATATTGAACATAGTGACCCTTATTTTTAACATAGTAACCTCATTTTTAACATAGTAACCTTTAATAAAAGTTGTATAACGTGTAATACTATTGTGAACTTAAAGTACGACGTTATGACCCTAATTTTAATATAGTGACCTTTATTATTTATATTGACCTTATAAAATATTTCATTACAAAAATTAACATTTTATAGCCTATATACCAAAATGACTTTTATTTTCAACATAGTGACCTTCATTTTATTATAGTGACTTTTTTTTTATTAATAAAACAACCACAGTTTCTCTAATGTTATTGGTTCACAATAAATTAGTGTGAACCATATCCATTTAAGAATTTGTAGTCGGTCCAAGCCAGCAAAAGAAAGGAGCGTCATCCTCAAATTTAAGAGTTAAATATAGTATAAATTTGTTGTATGGTCAAAGGAGATAATTATCTTCCTAAATTAAAGTCCAGTGAAACATTGAACAACTAACACTACAAGATGATCAAACATTGAACAAATAACTGTCAAAGCAGCCATTAATATAAGATATGATGTGATTCTCATATTCATAGTGTAATATTCCGTAAATTTCTGTAGGAAGCCCAACATACTTGAGAATCTGACAATATACAAGCAAAATGAGCGACTCTACTCGTTCCACTATAAATTTTCTTGCTCACTTTCAAGTTAATATTTTGCAGAGCGCAAAGATAATGAATTCACAGTTGGAAATTGTTTGCCAGGTCACTTCATGTCATATAACAAGCAAGTACATAATCAGATGCTGCATTAGATGCGAATTCTGGTTCAGCTGACTTCTGGACATTAACCCAGGCCTCGAACATATTGGTCTAGAGTAGAGTTGAACAGCTCATACCTAAGAAATTGAGGTGACATGTTTAGTAGCAGATAACAGTCATTTTGACAAATGCAAACTTACAAATACAAACTTAATAATGAAGATAAAGAGAAATTTGAGGGGTATATAAAGGCTTATATATGAAAGGGTAAGTAACAACTTATACTAAAACACAGCACCAGGTTAATGAAGGCTAAAAAAGTGACCAAGGCAGAGGATAATAAGCAGAAATTAACGCATTGATGAAAGAATAAAATCATCAAAGAATACATCGAGCCTGTGCTTTCGTATATCGCTTGTGGCACATATCAACAAACCTAGAGGATCTTTCTACAACCCCATCAAAGTTGATGGTGCCAACACTGTCAGCTGCCCGAGGACAAATTCATTACTCTATTACAGCTATTGAAATAAGTATGTAACTAGTGCCTTTTTTTTTTTCTTTTGAGGATATGAAACTCTATTACAGATAGTTGGGCATGCCCTTTGGAGACACAGCAGAAAACAGCGTATTCCCATCCTTTGCCAATGATGGGCAACAAAACTCTGCAATAACTCTCTTAATATAGCAACGAAATTATCAGCTTCAGTGATGTAAATTAATTCTGTGGAGGGGGATCATAACTCTATGCCCTATGCCTTATAGGAACCGCAATTTTGAGGCTCATTTCAACCCAAAATTTAAAAAGTTCACATGCTCCACACTGACATCTAGCACAAGTTGTTAATCAAGCTTGCAAAATCTTCCACATACAAAGTACTGAACTGATCTATGACCTATTCAATTATAAAGTTACTGAGCATACAAGCAAATATTAAGGTTTTTAAGACTGAACAAGAAAAGCCATGAGTTCCAGATTGGACCAGATGCCTTCTAGCTAAGGAAACTTTAACAGCATACCATCAGCTTTACAGAACTGTTCCACAGGAAAGAAAATGTTTCATATTTAATAGGTGTGCAAAAAGAGATTATGAACATAAGAGCTTTAGAATCAGAGTTGCTTAATCAATTGACTCGTGAACTGTCTAGGTCATGTCTCAAGGAGGCTGGACCGGTGGAGGTTTCAAGTTCATACAGAAAAGCATAAAAGTATAAGCTTAAAGGTTATAGGACTAGATAGCTGTTCAGAAGGCCCTGTTTCTGATGTGCTGTTGGATCAATACTGCTATGTCTCCAAAAAGGAAACGATTCCAATTCCCAAATCTTCCTCTTTGGCTATCTACTATCTTTTAGAAAACCAAATCACTAAATTTCAGTTTCAAGTAAGCCATTTTTGTATGCCTTATCCTAAGATCACCATGTATACAGCATTACAGCTGAAAGCCTAAAGTACCTCTTTAAGAGAAAAAGGGGAGAAGCTTAGAGGAGGATCAGGGCCTAGTTAAGATTTTTAACAAGGTAAAGCTTCTTCAATATCAATTTTAAACGCATTGGTAGACATCAATTACCAAGCATTGTTAATTAAGTATCAGTGAAACCAATCTAGACATTTCAAACAAGCCATTATATATGCAATCACAAAGCAGCTAAAACATTCAAGGAAAAAGTCTGAAAAGTGCAGAGAAATAATAGGTCAAGGAATGAAGTGGATCATAAAATTAGAAGAAAGTGGTGGATATACAGATAAAATTATTCACAGACAAGTCAAATTCATAGCTATATCTGTAATGTATTTAAAATTTATAATACTCACTTGATTGGAGTTCCAGGAGTATAAAGTGGATTCTTGACAACATATTCAACATACAAGTTGTAAATATACTTCAATGATTCTCGTAGATCACCAGTCCTAGGGTTAGTGACCAATATAAGCTGCCCACAAAGAGATATAAAGAACAAAAATCAGTACCAATATGAAAATCCCAATATATTACATCGAAATAGAATTATTAATTGTTATGCACTTATACATCAGTTACGTAACACCCGAAACTACAAATATATAGGTAGACTGTAGAGGTCCTCAAAATCAAGTACAAATGACCTAATCTAAACACAAAAATCAATGTAGAAAAGTAAGTATTCAATCGAATGTCCTTTTATGTTGCCCTTAACTTTTTATTAGTTGTCATGAAGCAAACCTATCTATGACTTTCTAATCACGGAAATAATATCTCCAAAGTTGCATAAATATTGTTTCAAATGTTTGACCCCACTCTCTCCATCCACCATAGGCAGAAGCCTTTTGAGTAGAGCTAGGGTAATGGTATGTAAAAACAGAAGAATAATGTGAAAGGAAATTCAAAAGAGCAAGGAATCAAACACTAACCTTACAAAAGCTACGACCAGAGAAAGGTTGCAAGATGATATAAATTAAGGTCAAAGGAGGTGTTTAAGCACTGAATACAGCTTCTAGGGGTTGATATCCAATATTTCCTTCAGTTTGCATTTGCAAATTTTATTCTTTGAATGCATGATATATACAACTGCAGTTCAGACTATCTGATCAAACCAAACACTTATATTGCTTAATACAAAACAACTAGCACCTATAAAAAGTTCCCCATCTCAATCACTACTTGTACATTTGATGACTTGTGATTCCGGCTTCTGTTTTCATTATCATTTTCAAATTTAGATCCTATACTCTTCTTGGCCATATTTGAATCAGAACTTTTATATATGCTAACAGTCTAAAGAAAAGAAAACTATAACTTCGTATGTATGTAACAAACAGTATCTCCAGGAGGTCAAGACAGTGAACAGTCACATATACTTTTATAGTCATTCTGCATGGGTACAGCATGATCCAACTGCATTGACAATGGTGGATGTTGACTCGTTACAAGAGCAGAACACTGGGGGTTTTTGAGTTTAAAAAAAGTAGCCCATTGACAATACTAAATTTGAGTTCTACTCCAAAAAATTACAACCATCAACCTATTAAGCAGCCAAACCTCTCAAGCTAATGGTATCAAAAGCTATCTACGGATTATGCCTTGCATGAAAGGAGCTATATTGCCTATATATGTAGGGTTTCAACTAAATATGATGAAAGATGTACAACAATGTAACAAACAAAAACTGCAACAAAGTTCAACCAGCTAACATTAAAAAAAATATACTTCAAAGAATATACAAACAAATTATGTACTCCAAAATTGCAAGCAAAAGCAATATATTTACCTTTATTCCGGATGGAGTTTCCATGAAACTAAGTTTGTATGTATTGGTGCGGAAACTGTGAAAAGAACACCCCTGGCCAGGCAATTGAGGCACCCCAAGGTTAACCTTATCGGCACTGTTCAAAGATCACAAAATTTCAAGCATCAATAACCACACATTTAACATATTCCCATCAATCAAAATGCAACAATAAAATTGAGCACGAATCCTCCAAAAAATTCATTAAAAATTTAACATTTGAAAATCGGCAATTCGAATAATTTTTCAGGGTTAACATTCTCCACAATACTCACAATATCAGATTACTATAATCAAACATATCTTCCACCATAACCAAAAAAGTTTGACATCACATTTACCAAGTAATAAAATAAACAATTATTCATAATTTTGCTTCTGGGTAGTTCTCTAATCAATCAAATCAACACCAAATTATCAAAAAATTCAACAAAAACACCTTAAAAACCTAAAAATTAAATTCCAAAAACAGGGTAAAAATTCACCTAACAGGATCCATTTTAGCAGTGAGAGATTTGAGGGAAAAAAGGAGACCAAACATGAGCTTTTGATCTTGCTGAGCATCCAAAGTATGGAGTGAACGATTCCATTCTCTGTAAAGCAAACAAACCCCATTTCTATTGAAAATGTACATCATGTGCGCATTGTTTCCAGACGCTGTTACCGCCGGAGGTGATGGGTTTATCTCTGTTGTTCCAAAAAACTGCATTTTCTCTCTCCTGAAAACCTAAACAATTTTGCCCACGATTTGATTATGATCAAAGAAGATCACTAAATTATACCTATTTCTAATGATTGGGGAAAGAAATTGAAATGGGGATTGATTAATTTTTTGCAGAAATTCAAGTAATATGGGAGAAAGAATTAAGCTTTCTTACTTACCAAAATATTAGTAGTTGACAATGGAGTTGAGCTAGCCCAGATGTGAGAGAGGAAAAAGAGAGATGATGAGTGATTTTCTGTGTTGAATGTATTTGGAAGTTGGAACCAAGGTGGGCTTATGATTTAGAGCCTTAAGGTGACATACATCACCCTCACCCGAAACCATATGAACCCACTTTTGAACCGTACTCAAAACGAGATAAGTTTATTTCCACCTCAAATACAAAGTAACTCGACTTAATTTGAATCATATAATAAGAAAAATATACGGAATAGGCTTTTAGTAGGTAAGATAAAAAGTATTATTGGGTCGGAATCTTTTATAGGTCAACTCGATCTAAGTTAGCGGATTAGACACTTTTGAAGTGGGAGAAGGTTAAGAATTGGAAAAACAATTTGTTTCCAAAGTGTTAGTAGTGGTTTCAAATTGATATAGTTAGGTCGTAGTTGAAGTTCGATGAATTTGAATTGCCTTGTCGAGAATAAGTTGGGGCTTAAATTTAATTCAATAACTTAACTAGCCTTTAAGATTTGATACTTTTTTGGTGCTTAGAGAGCCACAAGGGCAGGTGATGAGAATCGATCCCAAGATCTCTTGAAATCGGGAGGAGAACTCTAACCACTTAAGCTATCCCTCACTCTCAAGATTTGATACTTCATGTAGAGTTATATCACAATGTCATTTATGTTCCGTTCACTTTTTTTTTGAGGGAAATGTTCCGTTCACTTGACATAACCCCAATAGTACTTTTTTATGTTCAACTTGAGCCAAAATTGACTTGACCTATAATCAACAACCAAAGAAAAAAAAAGTATTAATGAATATTTCAGTTTTCACACCAATAGCACACAATTATAACACGACTTGAATAAGAATTGTACTGAAATTGAACCGAAAGACGCATTGTTCAAAATCTCGACCCAAACCGAAACAATCCATGTCAATAGATTATTGACATATACTTCATCTCACCTAAATCAAATTGACCCGACCAAACCAAACGTAACCCAAACAACATGTTTGTTTGCCACTAATCCACCACGGTGGGCTTATAGACCAAAAAGATACGGACTTGAAGTCCTCTAGACAATTGCAATTTGCAAACAGTTTAGGAGTTCTGTTAACTCAACAAGACTTGTAAGTTGTTATTGTGTTGGTTTGTTGTTACTTTCGAACACTTCGCCGCACCAATCTCTGTGCTCAACTAACCTTAAACCCCTTCTCTCCCCTAATCCCTCTCTCTCTCTCTCTCTCCTCTGATTAACAAACGCAGTCACCTGGAGTTGCAGGCTCAACAAAGGTGATACTTTCTCTCTCTTAGTGATAAATTGAAGTGATTTTTCAATTTAATTTCATGCTATATTTCGTTTATTCATGTTCAATTTGTTATTTTGTACAATAACAATTTCAGAATTGACCCTTTTGTTTTGTTAATTTGATGTCATATGGATGTATAATTGGAAGATTGAAAAAGTACTTGGTCTTGGAGTAAATTGGATTATTTGTTGGTTTGTCATTGTGATGTTTGTTAATGGTGTTTGATTACATGAAATTATCTTATTTTTGTATCAAATTTGTCAACTTTGCATTATGAATTAGGTCGGTATAACGCATAAGGGATTTGTGATAGCCAAATTGTTGGTAATCTAGACATTTTAGTTGATGCTTAATCAAGTAGGAAGTACTAGTTTGGCAGTTAAGTTTTGTTGAATGTGATATTAGTTTAAGTATTATGCTTCTTGGTCTAATAATTGCAAAATTTTGAACGTTGCATAAGTAAATTTGTTGGCATATCTAAACATTTCACTAAGGAGCTAAAAAGATTCAAAATTTATAAAAGGTGACCATAAACTGTAAATTTACAATGTGTCTTGTCCAATTATCAGTTGGACAGTTCAATGTTGGTGATGTTCATCGTTAAGTATACAATGTTTTATAGGTTGTAGGTTTACTAAAGCTGTACTTTGCGAAAATTAATCAACTCATATTGCCTGTGGAAAAATTAAGTGTCATCGTTTTAAGTGCCTGTGTTGGGTCCTCAAAACTCTGACATGGGTATGGACACGTGACACTTCGTTTAAGATGAGGAATATTTTCTTAAATAACCAAGTCTGATACTTGGATGCCGAGTTTGAGTAAGCTCTGCAACAATGCCTTGCCTAGGGCAATAATTACTATAATAACCTAAAGAGGTTTTGTTCTCTGCAGGAGTGAAATTTCAGTATTACTTTGTCAATGGCTGTAGCAGAAAATCATGGGGGCATATCGACTGCTCTGAAGTTGGTGGACATTGAAGGGAAGGGAAGGGGTCTAGTTGCATCTCAGCCGGTTAAAGGAGGACAAATTGTTCTCCGAGACTCTCCCATCCTCACCTACTCCTCTTTTTCTCTGAAACAACGACAAGGGGTTTACTCTCGATATTGTGGTCATTGTTATAAGCTCTTGGTCACAGGAAATGGGACATTGGCATGCCCTACATGTTCTCATCCCGACGATGCTATCTTTTGCAGCTCTAAATGCCAGTCCTCGGCCCTAGGCTTCTCACACACACCATGGGTTTGCCAATCTCTTAGTTATTTAAGAAATTGCCCTGTACTGGTTGACCAACAGCCTGAGGATCGCCAGATCCAAGCTCGTTATTTGGTGGCTGCATTCAATCTTGCTATGGTTTCTCCTTCCTCCTTTCAGACTCTGATATCACTTGATGGAGGTGGGCCCCAGGGTGGAGAGAGAGATTTTAATGCGGCTATTTTTCTACACCCGATCATCTCATCACTACCTTTTCCTGAGGGACTATCTGCTCCATCATTAGACATTACTGCAGCTCTATTGTCCAAGGACCGGTGTAATGCCTTTGGACTCATGGAGCCTTTAACAGAACATGGAGAAAGATCTGTGAGAGCATATGCTATTTATCGAAATGCTTCATTCTTTAATCACGATTGCCTGCCAAATGCCTGTCGTTTTGACTATGTTGATGGTGGAACTGAGGGAAACACTGATATGATCATTCGAATGATACATGATGTTCCTGAAGGCCGAGAAATTTGTTTGAGTTATTTCCCGGTCAATTTTAGTTATCCTCAAAGGCAGAAAAGGTTGCTAGATGATTACGGGTTTTCTTGTTCTTGTGATCGATGCAAGATTGAAGCTAAATGGCCCCATGAGGACGAGGATGAGGATGAGGGTGGTGAGGATGACACGATGGAGGAAGAGGAGGAAATGTTACCGTCAGATGGGGAGAACAATGAGATTGAGCTCGATGGGGATGATGATTTTCCTCATACTTACTTTTTTGTGAGATTTGTGTGTGATAAAGAAAATTGTGGAGGCACTTTGGCTCCTTTGCCACCCTCTAACTATAATAACACAACTAATGTCATGGAGTGTAATGCGTGTGGCAGTTTGAAGAAAGAAGAGTTGTAGTATGATGAGAGCAAAATTTTCCGGAGAGGTATCTTTGTTTACCTTTTTCTAGTTTGTTTGTTGCAAAGATTACTGTATGCTAATGATAGTTTCTCCATACGATGTTGACAACAATGTTTTATTCTCTAATCCCTACGGAGTATCGTGGTTTTTTACTAATATTATTATTATCGTTCACTCGTGATTCAGTTTTTTTTTCCTAAAAAGTTTGTGTATTTTTTTGTGCATTGCATCAAAGATTACAAAGACTGCCCTGCAAGTTTCTTGAGAAAAATCTGCATATACAACAAAAATTTGTTTTAGGTTCAGCCATTAAAAAAGGTTATGATGTATTCACAAATAAGCTGGATGCACCTTAAAACTTATTTCATGTCCTATTTTAAAAATGTTTTTGCTAAGCATAATTATTATATCTGACAGCTGCTCCCTATGAACTGTTAGATTTCTTTTCTTCACTTCAGTTCTTCAACATTGCTACAGGAGTACAGGGTGACTGATATAGCTGCGCCCTGTTAAATTTTTTCTTCTTGTTCCTTCACTTCAATTCTTCAACAATGCTACAGGGTGACTGATATATGCATGATCCAATTTTTACTTTTGCTGTTCTCAATGGGAACTTTGTGAAGATTCGTGTTTGTTAAATTCTTTTGCATGCTTATTTTCTCATGACCATGCTAATTACAAAAGCTGGTGTTATTGTGATAAACCATGTGTCATCTAACCTTTTTTCTCCCCCATTTGGCTCTGTGATCTGTAGGAATGAGCAGGTTTTTTTGGAGCGGTGCATAGCAAGACTAGGAATGTATTTTTATCTAGACCACTGAAGCTTGGCGTTGCATGCCCTAGGACAAGAAGTAATTTATTGTGTAGAACCTGAGATTGAGAATTGCAGCTTTAATCTTGATTTATCGGCCTATTAATGGCCAAAATCTGTCAATAAGGAAGTGGTTCTTCCTTCTGAGGCAATAGAAGTCTGGATTTATATTATTTGCTCTTTTCAGTAGTTAGGAGTCTATGATCTTGAATTTAACAGTATTACATTTGTATGCATGGTAATTAAATTTGATACAGTGAGTTCTTCATGAATATGACAGTAGTATAGCTAAAATATCAGTTTGATATTATAATGTAACTTTGTGAGCTCTGAATAACAATGCAGATGAAAATTTATTTTCACTAATATCATCAGTTCCCACTTTTGCTCAATAGATTTTGATTTTACACAGCCAATAATTGCATTGATATTCGATAGTGATGATTCCATGACACTGACCTAACAAGGTTGTTTGATCAAGTATCATTAATGCACCTCCTAATACATCAACTTAGGCCACAAATTCGACTTTTGGATAAAAAAAAAAGAGAGAGAGTACCTTCTTATGCAAGACGTTGAATTCCCTTCAGAAAATAACAAGCCACACTCAAAATGGTAAAAGACTCGAAATTTTACATAAACTATTGTAAAACGGCCTCGTACAAAAACTAAGGGGCAAAGAAGATTGCAGAAAAAATAACACTTGGGTAAATCTCCTTGTACTGAGGCAATCACAAAAGATGAAAAGAGAGATATGGAGTAAGAATTATCAAGCAAAGGATACATATATTTGATTCTACTGAAGCAACTACAAGCTTGTATGTAAACTAAGTATGTAGAAGCTATACACATCAAAATAGGCACACACCCAAAATCCCAAAAACACCCAACATTTAACAAGATTGATATATAAGCTTCAATTCTCAAAAGGCTGGGAAAAGATCCCTACTGAAACATTTAATAATCTGTAATAACAGCATCACATTACTGCTGAGCACACTGAACGCGAGGTTCATCATCTTCTTCTTCATCGTCTTCATCATATGCCTGCTGATGCCTTTGATGCTGCTTGCGTCTCATCTCCTCCTCCATGTTAACATCATGTAGAGTGGTCTCCTCACACTCGTCTAACTCCATGTCCGAGATCTGTTTCTTGGGATTTGATGGTAAGACTTTCTCCAAAGCTCGGGATTGGTCAAGGGGTAAGGAATTGGGAAATTCCACAGTGAAGTGTACATATAATCGCCCCTTCATGAAGGGCCTCTCATGATGTGGCATACCCTCATCATTGATTGCCTTGTACTGGTCGGGCTTGATGACCTCTCCAGGGTTAGATTTTATCAACAGCTGTCTGCCATCGAGATGAGTCAGGACAAACTGGAAACCGCAAAGTGCCTCAGTCAAACTCAGCTTATGTTCAACATAGAGATCATCAAACTTCCTCTTGAACCTAGGATGTTCCTTTTCTTGCAACACAATGACAACGTCCCCAGTGACTGTATCTGGCTGCAACACCAGGGTAACAAATAGTTTAGTTTTTATAAATCGAAGTTGATACATATTATTCAAATCTGAATGATCACAAAACAACATTAGGTGTTTTTTTGGAGTCATAGGGACAGAGTAAATTTTAGAAAGAATGCCAGTATACTGATTTTCGCTTTGATGGCCTGACTACCAAATACAAGCACTTACCGCCTCATCTGCTTGTCCCTGGAATACAATTCTCTGACCATTCTTCATCCCTTTTTCCACATGCACCTCTAAAACCTTCTTCTCAAGAGAAACTTTGTTGGCCTTGCACTGTGGGCATTTGTCCTTTTGACTAATTACCTCCCCTGCATTACCAACATGACAACATATGATATATAAGAGGGCCCTATGACATGTATGGACATAAACGAAACGTCTTTCAAGAGAATGAAACATATACCTGAACCTCTACATTCTGGACAGACATGCTGCATTTGCTGAATCATACCAGGCCCAATTTGTCTAGAACTAACTTTTATACCTGAACCTTGACAGCCATGACAGCGACTAGATGCTCCACTTTTTGATCCCTTCCTGCATTATACCAGATCAGAAGATATGAATAATGAGCTCCAATTCACAATTAGTATAACGCTAGTGTTGCATCAAAATACCAAGTTATTGACTGTAACCGCAACCATTATTGAAATGATTAGCACACACAAATTTTACAGTTTCACATAGCTTAATAAACAGAGCAAACCCTAGAAAAGAGCAAGCTATAAAGTGTCAAAAAGGATTTTATGACTAGTATAAGAGGTTACTACATATGACAAATATAAATGATGATTATATGCAAACCAAACCAAGACCGCATCCAGGTACAGTGCACAATCAGGCACTATTGCAGTAAACATTTGACCACCACTCTTAGAGTGAACTTGGCCTTTTCAACTATAAAGTTTCCCCCCTGCATTTGAAAGTAGGATGATTTATGTTATACGCAAATAGACGTACCTCTATCTCTGCTCCACATCCCACCAGATACAATGTTATATCCTTTTTTCACAAAACATAAAATCAAAGATCTAGACTGCACCAACAAACCAGACTTATAACACTAGAAAATGGGGGTTGGAAATAAGGTAGAAGAGCCGATAGGACTTTCATTGCACCAACACGTCACATTTCGATTTCATCCCAGGAATCCAAATCTATTTCAAAGAAATATTTGATAAACAGACAAGCACCATACCCTTTACATTTAGGACACAGAATATTCCTAGAAAGTGATAGTTTCTTTGAGGTCCCATTGTACAAGTCCTCTAAGGAAACCTTCAAGGTTTGAATCACATCTTCACCTTGCTGTTGCCTTCTAAATCTTGAACTGCTACCACCACCTATGACAAGCATATGCCAGAATCATCATCAGAGGGTTTCATGTAAACCTATTTTCCCCTTTATTTTGGAGGGGCTTTGTGACATGAATACAGTATGCTTAGGGAAAACCAAAAAAAAACAACTCACCTCCAAAACCTGAAGGATTAAATAATTGTTCAAAGATATCGAATGGATTATGAGAATGTCCGCCACCACCCATTCCTTCCTTAAGAGCATCTTCCCCATATTGGTCATAGAGGTCTCTCTTCTCCGGATCATTAAGAACTTCATAAGCTTGAGCCACTTCTTTGAACTGATACAGGAGTAACCAGATGTAAGAAAAGACAGGAAGGGGTAAATATTATTAGAACAATTTAATCAAGAAAACTCATGAAAAATTGAAAAGGAAATCTAATTAGTAAAAGTTCACAAATGAGAGTATGATGTTGACACCTAAGAGGTCATCCCAATATAAGACTGCAAAAGAAAGAGAGAGATGAAATAATATGTATCATCTTGAGCTCCTCCACGATTTTACATCCTACACTATTGGCCTTAATAATCTCTCAAAATATGAAAAGTTCCCAAAGTTTCTTATCCATCTAGCTTTACCCATACATAAGGCCCAATACTCCATACAGGGGCGTTTATAAATATTATAATCCCTTCAACGACTGGAAGCTTTGTCAATTGGGTGTTGGCATGAATGGAAAATACATGGTAAAGTCAAAACAAGCTCTCAAACTGTAGGTTATGAATCGAAACCTAAGCATTCTCAATAACTTTTTTCCCACAAAACATAACACTAAAGAAGTACTACCCTCCAAATGTATTAATATTTAGATAGCTTTTAACTCATTTTAAGTGAACTACTAAAACAACTGCATAAGGATAAGAGTTCCTAGATCGGCATAGCAGTTTGCACATTAATAACCATCACAGATTGATTACTGCAGGAAAGCAACAAAAAACTAACAAGCCAAGAACAAAAAACAAGCCTACAGTCTACAGATATAGGACATATTATCCGGAATCACAAAGAGGTATGGAAAAAACAAATACCCGTAAAAGATATTAGTACTAAACAGTAACATTGTAATAAAACCACAGGTAATTTACCTTCTCGGGATCTCCACCTTTATCCGGGTGATTTTTTATCGCAGCTTTTCTGTATGCCTTCCTGAGTTCATCTTGACTGGCTTCTTTTGAGACACCAAGAAGTTCATAGTATTTGGTGTTATTGCTTTTCTTCGGAGCTCGCCCAAACATGATTACACTTTACACACTCCGAAGCTCACTACAGTAGGGAAAATAATGAAATTAGATGCAGTTATACCAAAATCCTTATTGATTTTCAAACAAAACAAATTCAGCATAGCTGAGAAACATTTATGGTGCAATAATAGCCTAGTAGGTCACTATGAAAAATGTTACAAAGAAAAGCATTTAAAATCTAGCAATTAGCATCTCCACTACAGCACCACCAAAATTCTTTGAATCCTATTGATAAAAGACTTTACCAAAACAGTTAGATAATACAAAATCTCGGAAAATCCCCAAATACAAATTAAAATAACATAGATGGACATTACTTATAAAACCAAAGCCCTCAAGTCACAACAATCATACAAGTCCACAATTGAAAAAGATAAGCTTGCCAATCATATCCTTTTAGGCATTTATTCAATTTCCTTTTTGGATCAATTCACCCACCAAATTAAACCCCAAAGGAAAAAGCAACACCGGAATGTAATCGTACAGGTCATTCTAGCTAAATAATACGAAATATAAACCACCTAAGCTCACCCCCGAATCTAAAAAAAATAAAAACTTTTGATAGGGGATGAAATCTAGTCGTTAAAGCACTTAAGATACACATTTAGACGGCACAAATTAAACTACCTGCAAACAACTACTTCATACATATTATATCGTCGCATTTGAAGCAATTTTCCAAGCAATTGAAGCACTAAAATAAATAAACCCAATTTTCTCATCCTTCTTCCTGATTATAACAGAAAAATCTCCTCTTTCTCATTAAACTAACCTATGTTAGATTGTTAGACTTCTTTATCATCTTTTTACAATTTGCAACCTTCCCACAAGCATAAAACCCTGATTATAACAGTAAAAACTCCTCTTTCTTATATAAACCTATGACAAATTGTTAATCTTTATATCATCTCTTCAAAATTTACAACCTTCCCACATAAAAACAACACAAATCCAAAAAATAACCCATTAAAACACCACAATAAAACAATTTCCTGATCAAATATATATACAGGGATAAAAATTGCAACGTCACCAGCGCAATGAACAATACCCTAATTCAAAAATTTTAAAAATAAACCCTAAAATAAATCAATCAATTAAAACGAAAGAAAAAAAAAAGGAGAAAAGTCCAATTCTTGCGGAAAATAAATTAAACCCCAACAAAAACAGATAACAACCAAAAAAAAGATCTAAGCTTATACAATAAACAAGAAATCCTAATCAATCAAAATAAAAATAAAACATAAAACAATTAATTAATACCCAGAAAGAAGCAGAATCATACCCAGAAAGAAGAAAAGATTAAATCTTTAAACTCACCGAAGAAATTCGATAAGAAAAAATGTTCCAAGTTGGAGTAAATGGAAGGAGGAGATAGAAAGAGAGAGACGAAAGATGTCTCTGCTCTTGGGTTGAGTAGTTGGTGCGCAGCAGCTGAGAATTAAGGTTTGAAGGGTTCAAAGAATTTTGGTGCCCTAAATTTTTATAGTTTCAAGATTTAAGGGAGGGTCCTTTGATTTTACTCTTACTCAACAAATGACTAGTGCAAGATTCCTAGTACTGACTCGAGTTTAGGTATGTAGTTGTAGACAGGCAAGACAGCCTTTTGCCTTTTAAGGTTTAGATCTTCCAACTTCCAAGGGTGATGTAAATGAGGTTCAACTTTATGTATTCTTGACTCGAGTTTATGCGTTTCGAAACTTATTAATCATTGATTATTAAGATTAGGTTTCATATCCACTACTCCGTATTTGCTAGCTATTAATTGAATAATCGTTTCATTTAATTGAAAGCCTTCAACTACTTCTTTTTATGGCTATATAAATCTTCCGTTTAACCAATCGAATCTTGGAACGTACAGTTTAATGAAAAGATAATCCTATGTAAATCTTGACGAGTTGATAGGTAAGTACATACACATATGGCTGTTTAAAATATGATTAGTTAGGTATGTAAGTATATTTAATGTTGTATATGTAGATACGAAAGGAAAAAAAAAAGGGTAAGAAAAGATCAAAGGAGAGTGATGTAAGTTGAGTTGTGTAAGGAATGTATGATTTCTCAAAATAATTTTAAGGGTGCATGAAAGATAACAATATAATTGGTAACTATGAGTTATATGAGAAAAATGTAGGATATCCTCCACGTGCAATGATTATATTAGTATGAATTCATGCATCATTTTTCCACAAATGAGAGTGAGAGATAACATTAGAGCTTTCCTTTCACTTTTAGAGGATTGATCTCATTACAAGTCTTTTGACTATTTAAAACATAAATAAAATTATGTCTTCTATTTCCTGCCTAATAGAAAAAATATTTTTTAATAAATAACTTATTCCTATATTTCAATGTAATACATGAATATATGTACCAATAAAAATATGTAATATATAAATTTAACGTTGTTAAGTTTTATATTTTTTAAAGGAAATGTTGTTAAGTTTATACTCCGTATTTCTTATAACTTAATTTCTTTAATTAGTGAATACTAGATATCTCTGAAGAGACTTTTAATTAGTGAATAAGTTCAATGCTTACATCTTGCCCTCTTATTTTTTTCTTTTGGACTATATCATAATTTTATCAAAAATCTAGTTTTCATAATTTATCTATCTTTCTTATGCTTACTGTATTTCCTATTATTTCCTATTATATGGCTCTTTCTTATGATAATTGACAACCTAATAGGCCGTCAGACAATCAACTACTCCATACTAATTGTCCATGTCACAGCACACCATACAACCAAATTAATAATCAAAATCTTATCATGTGGACCGTTGCCACATGTACTTGTAACAATCTATGTGTTTAAAGGCTTGTTCGTTTAGCTTAATTTCAGTTCTTAATTTTTTATTTTTTTTTCATAAAGAATTCATTTCATTTCAATTTAGTTCTATTAAGCCCCAATCAGTTTAATCTAATTCAATTCAATTGTTTTCAGTAAATCAGAACAAGTTCTAAGTAACCATCTTAAAATAAATAGTAATACGGAGTATTATATTCGGGACCCACGATGACAATATTATAAGAATTTAATAATGACACTCTACTTGACTACTTCACTAGTTGTCCTTTGTCATGTATGAAAACAACCAATGAAATTAGTACGTCTTATCAATTAAAAACGAAAAAATCATAAAAAACGAGTGTCAAATCAGTAAAATTCGTAGAAAATCCAAACAAAAAATAATGAAAAATTCAATAATTTCCCAACTTTCGCCCAGATTTCCTCTTCCTTTCTGTTGTCAATTCCCAACTGCCCCTTCAAAAACCAACCTTCTCCCCTTCTTTCTCACTCCTCAATTCACTCTAACAACAAAACCCCATTTCGGGAGAGAGAAAATGAGCTCCTTTCATGGCGCCGCAGTCGTCGCCGGTGCCGGAGATGGTAGTTCCGGCGGCGTTTCCGGTGGTGGGTTTGATCAGAATGTGCTTGTGATGAGACACGGTGATCGGATGGATAACTTTGATCCGAAGTGGGTTACGACGGCGGAGCGGCCGTGGGATCCGCCCCTTTTTTATGCCGGAAAAATCAGAGCGTATAATGTTGGTACTGAGTTTCGAACTCGAATCGGGTTTCCAATTCATCGGGTTTTTGTTTCTCCTTTTCTTCGATGTATTCAGACTGCTTCTGAGGTTGTTTCTGCTTTATGCTCTGGTGGGTCTGATGCTTCTTCCTCCTTTGACCCTTCTAAAGTTAAGGTATTTTTTTTTTAATGATTTTTTGACTTTTGTTGTTGTTTGGGTGATTAAATTGGTGATTTTAGTTACCCTTCTAAGTTAAGGTATGATGATATTTTTTTGATTCTTGTTGTTGTTTTGGGTGATTAATTTGGTGACTTTAATTACCTTTTTAAAGTTAAGGTATGATGATCTTTTTGACTTTTGTTGCTGTTTGGGTGGTTCAATTGGTGGATTGAATACCCTTATAAAGTTAATGTATAATTTATTTATTTTTATGATCCTTTTTGACTTTTGTTGATGTTTGGGTGATTAAATTGGTGAATTGAATTGACTTATGATTTTTTTTATTTTTTGTTTGATGGGTGTTAGACTGTTAATTAATGTTTAGTGTAGCTGAAATATGGAATTGAATAATGATTAAACTGACCTTATGATCAGTATAAATCTATATGATTTGTGATACTGATGTTAATTTATGAGAAAGTTGATGAGTGATGAATTGTCTGGCTATGTTTTACTGATATTTAGTGAATCAGGATATATGCAATTTGGATTGAACTGTGCTGGTTAATGTGTCTGCTGTCATTAAGTTGCTAGGAAAGATTCGATTTTGGGATGAATCTGATCATTAGATGTGAAAAATCTTTGTGAAATATTGAGTAATGAGGGACCTTTTTTTCGGACTGGAGAAGTGGATTGAAAGATACTAGTTTGGTGCTTGGAAATTGGGTGTACACATTCTGAGAGGGAGGAGAATCTTTACTACGTGAGAGTGTGATATCAAGGGAGAGCTAGAAGAAAATTTTGGAAGGAAAAGGGACACAGAGAGAGGGTGGAGGTGTAGAGATAGACTGTAAGACACTAAGACTTGTAATTGTGGAGAATGTACTTGTAATTATGTGGCCTATGATTGGATATCAGTAAAGAAAAATGGATTGACATGGTTTTTGAAAGGCCATGTCCTAGATATTGTAGGTTGTTGCTATTGGTAGAAGAAAATAGAAAGACTGGGAATCTTTTTGTGCCCTTCACCCAGCGCAAAATAATGCTAATCAAAGGTTTTTTTCTGACAAATTTTCCTTATTTTTAATACTTGATGGAAACTTGCTTTAGTCCATCATCTTCAATATTTTATAGAAATTTATGAAAATTATTACTGGGGCATGTTATTAAGAAAGACTAAAGAGAGAATGGTTAATTGTTGAACTGAAGTGTAGGGAAGGGTGAAGTTTTCCACAAAAAAATGAAATTACCACTCCACCCTCCCTCTCTTTGTTCATTACGAACTAGTTCTTTGTTTAGGTAGAGTAATGTTCCTGCATATTCTTATCGGCACTCCAGACAAAAGCAAATTGTGTAATGTAGAGTAATGTGTATTTACGTACTATCTAGGGGTTGGGTTTTGGGCTGTTTACCTCTGCTTGTTGCCTTGATTAGTCTTAGAACAGGTATCGACCAAAGAGGTTGTTGTGTCAACCTGATCATCTCATGCATTAGTTAAAAATCCATTCTCCCTCTCTCTTTGTCTCCTCTCACCTTCATTGAACTTCAGTATTTTTTCAAAGATCCCTAAATGCATCAGCTATATTTTGCTTGTGTGAGGGTCAAATCCAGACATGTCGGCCTTGCCTTATTTGACTACCTCTTTGGAATTTCCTTTCTTGCATGTTCATTACTTATTCTCCTTTTTCCCTTTTCATTTGTAACCATCATTCATTTTTTCAAAAATAAAATAAATAAATAAATTAGCAGAATTTAAGTTGAGTTGAATGCAAATTATATGTTTTTGTCAGTTGAAAGGAATGGTGGATTGGATACTTAAGGAATTGCTGTCTGTCATGAAAATCTTTGTGTGCACTGTGCAGTCCTGGGTGTCGACGTGTCGTATTATTGTCATGGTAAAATATGTGCAACCAGTCTTTGAAGCTGCTGAAGAGTTAGCTGTCAAGTGTTAAAATTTCTACTTGGTTTTCAAAAAGACGTGTTCTTCCTCTTTTAACTATGCTTCAGTGACAATTTCAATTGAGATTGAGATTTTGTACACAATTGCATCATGGCAATTGTGTTTTGAGTAATGGTAAATGGACCTGCTTAAAATTCTTGAATACTTAAAATTCTTGAATACACAACTACACAAGATTTTAATTGTAAAAGTAAGGAAACATAGATAAGCCATTCAAACCAACTGTTTAATTTTCTCAACTACATTGCAGGTTTCCATTGAATATGGGTTGTGTGAGATGCTGTGTAGAGAAGCTATAAGACCTGAATATGCACCTAAAGATGGTGTTTTTCATTTTAACATTTCCGAGCTTGAAGCTATGTTACCTGCTGGAACTGTAGATCATACTGTTGAAAGAATTTATCAAGAGGTAACAATACCATTTTCTTTATTTGGGAATGATACTACTAAATGCATACTTCGTAGTATGTAAATACACTTAATTTTGTCCTCACCTGAATCCTCTTTTGGATCAAATATAGATGCCACGATGGCAAGAAACAGTTTTTGGCTCTAGAAGCAGATACGAGCATGTCATCCAGGCACTTGCAGATAAATACCCTAAAGAGAATTTGTTGCTAGTTACACATGGTAAGTTTTATTTGCTGCATTTTATTTATTTTTTTTGAATTCTGTAAATTTAAATGGCATACCGTAGAAGGTTATGTTTTTACTAAAATTTGACTGTTGCTGTGGAGAAGCTACTAATGCAATGTGGTATAAAGTACTCCGTATAATAAATTGAACCAGAAGATGTTTCATAATGTTGAGACTTGTATGAGTAAACAGCTTCCTTACTGTTTTGTACAGAGTATTACTATAATGCACTTTCTCATTGTTCAGGCTTAGTATTGTACGTCCCTTGTCTTCCCGTAATACTCTCCAAAGAGGGCCCAGGTGATCTTAGGTTCTTAGGTAGAGCACATAGTGAGCTAGGGCAATTGCCCTTTTTCTGGTTTAAGGGTGAAGTGAAGAGAGTTGCAGGGGGCTGGATGTATTTGACATGCTTGTATTCATTACTTTTCTGGCTGGGTGTATTTGACATGCTTGTAATTATTACTTTTACATTTCTGCATTTCTTTTTCATTATTGACCGTCATTTCTTCACTCATTTCATGCTTCTGAAGCGAAGTTTCTAAGTATGTGACTTTCATCTTGTTTATATGCAGGGGAAGGTGTTGGAACATCAGTGTCAACATTTAAGAAAGATGTTACTGTTTATGAAGTAAACTACTGTGCTTACTCACATGCGAGAAGGCGTATCACCTTTGGAGAAAACGGATCAGTTACTGCTGGAAGCTTTCAGTTGGTCACTGATCCACACATAACTGGTATTGAGTACACTCCATCAAATAGCTTGGCTGATGGAGTATGAGCTCAACATTGGGACTCAGACTGGTGCCAAGATTTATGAATAATTGTTTGCTGCTACATTCAATCTGATATACGGAAGACTTGAGCTATTCATTGTCATCTGTAGCTTGTTAAATTATATTTCAACAAGGCTTCAGATAATTAGTTGTACAAGATGTTACTCACGAGCAATTTGTTTCATCTTCTTTCTTCGCCCTCAACATATGAGTTCAAAGTCTCAGTCATAACCAATTTAGAATTAAAATCATCATAACTAGATAAAGATAATTCATAAATCAGATGCAAATGTTAAGCACCGAAGTAGATGAATCAGAGTAGAAGCTAAGTAGAGTCTTTGAGGGAAAAAAAAAAAAAAAAAAAAAAAAAAAAAAAAACTTACCAGAACTACAGAAAATCTGCTATATTGAGTCAGAACATAAGCTACAGGTTAGCTGTTCAGATGATCCTATCTACCAGCGAGGAGGGCTTGGTAATGGCTCTATCTCATCAAACACATCTGATGCGAAGTCATCGAAAAAGCTGTCAGGTGCTACATGGTTGTCCTCCCGCTTTACTCTTGTTTCACCACTCACACCCCCTCCACCAAAGCACGAAAAAAAGTGAACCCCATCATTGATGAGTGCAGGCTCATTGATGTATCCAAAGGGTGCAAAAAAGCTATAATCAAGCCTGTCAATGAGCTCCTGTGTTTCTGGAAGGAATGGAAAGTCTGTTTGGAAGGGTGGAAGTGGAATCGAGGGAAAGGAAGGCATTTCAAGTAGTTGCAAGTCGGTATGGTTGCAGTATGTGTTCAAGGGAATTGGATCAAGATAAGTTGCACTTTTAGCTTCAAAACACGGACAACTGTGGTTAACTGAACCAGGAAACGGTATTAGTTCCATGGTTTTCTTGCCTGTGCTGCTGTTAGAAGACGAGTTAAGAGATTGTGCTTTGGAGGATGATTCTCCCTCCATTGAAGAATTCTTGGAGACCTGAGAATCAGAAGAAAGTCGATTTTAAAACGTCAATAAAACAACATGAAGTGGTTAAACTATTTAACACCATCATATGAATATTCAAACAACACTAAACTATTTAAAGTACTTTGTAAAATTTACCATAATATCATTTATATACTCAACTTAAATTATGTGAAATTAAGTTCAATTCTACTATCAAGTTCATCCTCTTTACACCACACCATTTAATTAAGGATATGTTCGATCATTCTAAAATGTTTACCTCGCGAAAGTGAGGACGATCCTTGGAAGAAGAAGCAGAAGATTTGTGCTTCTTATTAGGACGAGTAGGAGATTGAGAGTGCAAAAGCCTAGCCAATCTCTTTTGCCTGCTACTCCAGAAATTCTTTACATCATTATCAGTTCTTCCTGCCAAATATGTCGCAATTTTTGCCCATTTATTCCCGAATTCTCCCTGCAATTCTATCACCATTCTTTCTTCTTCTGCTGTAAACTTGCACCCACTTCAAAAATTCAAAAAAAAAAACATTAATCGATCAGAAATTATGGAACACATAACAATAAAAAAAGATTACACCAAAATTAATTCAAACCCATTTTTAATTGATCAATTTAATATTTATTACAAGAAATTAACAAAAAATTGAGACTAGAATTTGATTAGTGGATGAAAAGTATTGCAAACAAACTTGCTAATTTCTGAAATACTAATACGTAGTATTGAACATTATACAGTAAAAAAAAATTACTTTTTCTTCTAAGAAATCACATTCAAACTTCTTTTAACAAATTAAATTCATACAAAATATCGAAACAGAAATGAACAATATGAGTATAGGAGATTATATGTGTAGAAAATCATGGAATCCATCACACAAACTCATAATATTACCACGAACAAAAACTCACACGTTCATAACATTAAAACATTAAAAAGGACGTATATGATGTTACATCAAATAAAAACTAAAACGGAATAAAATAGAAAGCAAACGTACTTTTTTAAGTTGGGACGAAGTTTATTAACCCAACGAAGACGACACGATTTGCCAGTACGTTGAAGAAGGCCTTTGGATCGAATGGAGCTCCAGTCACGAGGACCATAATTCTTAACATGGTTGATTAAAACTTGATCTTCTTCGGGTTTCCAAGGCCCTTTCCTAATCATTATACTAGTAACACTACTATTATTATTATTATTATTGTAGTGATGATAGTATTTGTTGGATTTGGCGTGATTATTTTTGAAAAAAGAAGAGTTGTCCATTTTGTTGGAGTATCTAATTGAGAGAAGATAATTGAAATTGTGAAAATGGAAAGTGACGGTTAAAAGAGTTGGTTAATGAGTTAAAGAGAGGGTGTAATTGTTGTCCCACACTCCCACATTCCCCTATTTTTTCGCTCCTCTTCAACCCTCATTTCAGTCATTTCTATTTTTCATTGGTTAAATATTCTTGGATTCTTCTTCTTTTTTTTTCCAACTTTTTTTATTTAATTAATTTTAATTTAAATTTTAAGATGGACGTGAAAGTGGCTTGAAGTATTTCCTCAAAAAAAAAAAAAAAAAAAAAAAAGAAAGTGGCTTGAAGTATAAAATTTTTTATATATTTTTTTTTTTGATGTGGGCTTAAACTTAAAGTATAAGTTGATGAAATATATATTGTTTTGTTTTGTTTTGTTTTGATTTTTATGAGTTAAGCACAAAATCAGGTACTCAATTCTTCCTTTTTTCACCGTTTAGGTACTCAATTATTTTTACTTTGCTTTTGGGTACTGAGTTAAGAATTCCGGCCAAAAAAAAAATCAGCCAAAGAATTCAGTACCTTGGGTTAAAGAATTTAGTACCTTTGGTTAAGAGTTTGTGGGCCCCACCCGATTAAAAAATTCACGGGTCAACCTATTTTTTTTCCCTTTCTTTTTCTTTATTCCCCCCTTTTGCTCCTTTATTCTTTCCCATTTCTGAAAACATTGTTGCGTCACTTTCGAAGAACAACGAGCAACCTTGGGCTCGATTCTGGGGAAAACGACACCAAAAGCCGCCATTTTTTTGAGGTAAGCTCAACTTCTCATCGTTTATGTTGTTAATTTGATATAAATTTTGGATTTTTTGCCCATTTGTTGATGTTTGTTGCGACCTAGGGTTTTTGATATTTTGGGTTTTTTTTTGAACAAATTGATGATGTCGATTGGTTGTGTTTTTCGTGTTAAATTTGTTGCTTTGTTGTTGTTTGTTGTTGGATTAAGGTAGTGTTGTTGTTGAATGTTGATTTCATGTTGTTTACAATGTGCAAGGGTTGGATTAGTTTATATGTTTTTCGCACTAAATGGTGTTGATGATTTGTTGTTAATCATCAACACCATTTCATCCCTCAATTCAATAGGGTGAGGCATGTCAACCCATTCAAAGTAATTGCATCCATTGTAGCATTTGTAATTCTCACAAATTTTTCCTTGATATCCTTTGCATAGCCCTTCTGTTACAGTGGCAGTAGTCCATGATATGCACCTTACTGTTTCTGTTTTTTCAAATTTGCAGGAGGCTGATTTTGTGGTTGGACAGAAGAAGCAACAGTAGGGGCAGACTTGAAGTACCAGCAGCAAGGAAGCAGTAGCAACTTCTGTTTCTGTGTTTTTTTTTTATTATTTTTTTTCTATAAAATCTGGGAAAACCTTGTTGAAGAATTTATGTCTAAATAATCATGGTCAGTGAACCTGTTTTGATGAATTTTGTTGCTGGGTATACTGCTACAGATTCTGTCTTGCTGTTTTTTTTTTTTTTTTAAAAATTGAATCAGGGACAAATGGTTTTGGATGAATTTTGTTAAGCAACAATGGCTGATTTTGTGGCTGGACAGAAGAAGCAGCAGCAGGGGCAGACTTGAAGTACCAGCAGCAGGGGAAGCAGCAACAACTTCTGTTTCTGTGTTTTTATTTTTTTTATTATTTTTTTTCTACAAAATCTGGGAAAACCTTGAAGAATTTCTGCCTAAATAAACATGGTCAATGAACCTGTTTTGATGAATTTTGTTGTTGGTTAAACTGCTACAGATTCTGTCTTGTTGTTTTTGTTTTTTTTTTTATTGAAATTGAATCAGTGACAAATGGTTTTGGATGAATTTTGTTAAGCAACAATGGTGATTCTGCCAGGTTCATGCCCCTTTAAATAGAGAAACTAACGGCTAGTTTCTTAGTCAAATTTAATACATTTATTTATTTATTTATTTAAAAAAATATTAATTTTTTAATTAGGTATGGGGCCCACATACTCTTAACCAAAGGTACTAAATTCTTTAACCCAAGGTACTGAATTCTTTGGCTGATTTATTTTTTTTGGCCGGAATTCTTAACTCAGTACCTAAAAGAAAAGTAAAAAAAATTGAGTACCTAAAAGGTGAAATTTTTAAGAATTGAGTACCTAATTGTACTCTTAACTCGATTTTTATACGAGTAACTAATTTAGTTCCCGTGCGATGTACGTGTTAAACAAACACGTTGTGAAATTTATTTACAATATAAAGAAAGAAAATTTTTTACTCTTTAAATTTTTTTTGTATACATGGTAAGTAATTAATATATATATATATAAAGGAAAATGTACAAATAATGCAATTTTTTCATCGATTTGCATGCGTATCGAAAAATGTTCATTTAAGGTTTTAGGGGTCGTTTTAGTTCTTAAGGGTCCGAATTGAGCTTGAAATTGTCAAAAAAAATAATGTAAGTGTCTCATTTTGCGTAACAATGCATTGCAACAAAACATAAATTACATGAAAGATTTATTCTAATCGTGCATCGTACGGAATAACCTAGTTATAAAACCATTCAAATATATATATATATATATATATATATATATATATATATATATATATAAATCAACTAAAAAAAACCCTAGCCTCCTCTCTCTCTTCTCTCTCCTAAACTTTAGCCTCCACTGTCAATTTTGAAGGGGCTTTCATCGGATTTCACCTGTGGAAAGCCCCAAATTTTATTTCCTTTCAAGTTTTTTAATTTGTTCTAGGTTACAATAATGTCTCCCTCGAAAGAAAGGGCTTATCTCTTTCGAAAGACAAGGTTTTTTCGATCTCCTTCGAAAGACAAGGTTTTCCGGACTCCTTCGAAAGACAAGGTTTTATTTGTGTTTAATTTGGTCTCTGGTTGTGTGGGGCTACTATTGATTATGGCTCGGATTCGGGTTACAGAATCAACACAAGAATTTTCTTTCTCACAAAATTGCGAAGCGGCGACGGATCCACTCAAAAAGTTGTATGAGACAACGAACCGAGAATGTGCCGAATTGTTATATTTATGTATTTGGATTCTTAGCCCTTCCTCGATTAATTCTTGTTTGATTTTGCTAAATTCGTTTTCATTATCGTTAATTGTCAATTGTAGATGTCGTATGGTTATTATTAATGAAATTTAATGTCCTAGGACTTCTTTCAAAAATATATATATATATATATATATATATAAAATAAAATAAAGCCTAAATAAAATTATTATATTTTTCAATAAGTTGACAAAATTTATTTGAGTCTATATACTCCGTATTAAATGATAGGGTATTATGAAACTTTTGGAATATATATTGATTCTTATGTCAACTTTGAGGACCATTTGAGACATGTAATGATCTCAAATATCTCAAATTCGAGAATTTTGACAAGGTACTTATATATGTTGTTCAATCACCCTGTGTATGGCCAAGCTAGCTAAATTAAACATCGGCTAAACTCTTTGTATCCTTATCAAGAATATCATTTATGAAATAAGTACTGTAAATTTTTCACTTCTTTCATTCCTTACTTACGGAGAATTTGTTTGGATTAAAAATGTCAATGACCTTAAAAGAAATAAAACAATATGTTGTATCTTTAATTTTAACAATTATACAATGTTAGATTGAAAATTTAATATTAAACAGAAAAACCTTGGTGAAACTTGAAAGCTATTTTCAACAAAGGGGATAATAGCTAGCTAGACTTTGATTTGGCTTTTGAGATTTTCTACATTTACCCGTGTGTGTTTATTTTGTTGTCGATTAAAAATTCATTTGCATTCACGCAAACAATCAATCCTCAAATATATCTATATTAATTATAAATTGAGATGGTCCGATAAATTTTTTGAAAAAATATTACAAATTATAAATCAAGACGGTCCAATGAATGTCACACCATTTCCGAGAAATTGTATTTCTAATTTCCAATATTAATGAAAAAGGAATATTATAAAGTTTTTTTTTTCCTCCTCACATATTAAAGCTTCTGGTGGTATTTCTTGTATTGTTGAACACAACCCGAATCCAAATCCAAAGATAAGAAAAATGGGATTGGGAGGTGTAACTCTGAAGCCCTCAACTTCACTCAATTATCTCCTCTTTAAGCCGAATCCCTTTTCCGGGTCAACCCGAATTTGCCTCAGAAGATCATCTCCTTTGTTTGCTGCTTCTTTCTCTTCTTCTTCTTCAGCTTCTGCTTCAATTGTCACCCATAATCAATCCCTTTCTCTTGGTCACTCCACTCGTCCTGATTTTCCTATTCTTCACCAGGTTTTTCTTTTAAAGATTTGATTTTGTAATTTTGTTCTTTTTGTTTTGGAAGTAATTTTATTGAATTATTATGTCATTTTGTATTTATTTATTTATTTATTTATTTATTTTTGTGGGATATTGTAATAATTTATTTATTTTGGAGTATTGTTTATGGGAATTGCAAAATTAATGATTTAGACGGAATTTGATCCTATGTCTTACCTCAAGACTTTATTGTCAACTAAGCTAGATAATTTTGTTAATTAAGTGTGTTAGTTGTGGTTTTTTATGTATTAGGAAATTGGAATTAGTGTTCTGTTTCTGGGGTATTAAGTTCATGGTTTCATGATAGCTTGAGTTAGTATATAAATCAAACGTTTGATATGTTTGGAGGAAACCGAATGGAATAGTATTGAACGAGATAGAGTGAAAGCAATGATATGTTTGGTGTTGTAATAGAATGGAATGGAATGGAATCAAATTACGGAAGGAGGGAGATTGAGGAGGGTAGCATGATGTTTTTCCATTGGGTTGGGAGGGTAACAAGGGTGTGGAATTACTCTGAAATAAGGAAAACATTCGGAAATAATATGCGTGTATCGTATTGATATTGTAATTTGGACTAGTAATGTGATCGTTGATTTGGGATAGAGCATAGAGGGAGAATCATTTCCTTGGGTTAGAGGTAATTTAAGGGTGAATATATAGCATAGTTTTATGTTATATGTGGTTTTCAATATTTGGAATGAGAGGGTGTTTATTTTTACTTTGGTAGTTGTATGACTTGGACAAGTTGATTCTTGTTTCCATGTGTTGGGATATGAGGTGGGGTGATTGTACTCTATCAGTGATTATACTTTTATCACAAGTTGACATAGAAGGGAGTAATCCTTATTTGTGTTGTACTCTTTCTGTGATTTGCTATTGGATTTCTCGGGCTTATATGGGTTGACTCTTATCTGTGGTCAATTAATATATATGGTGGTGTATCTGTCGTGATATACGATGGATTGTGATTTGATTCTGATGAGATTAGTGGATTGGTGTAAAAGTTGTTGTAATGCTGGGTCACTTCACTACGCTGCAGGAGGTAAATGGACGAAAGCTTGTTTACTTGGACAATGCCGCAACTTCTCAGAAGCCATCAGCAGTGTTGAAGGCTTTGCAAGCCTATTATGAAGAATACAACTCGAATGTGCACAGAGGGATACACTTTTTGAGGTGTTGATGCCCTGCTTAGAGCTGTTCTGATCATAATCTTCTTTCCTCTAAGAAATTAATTCTTCTCTGAAAATTCTTATCAGCAATTGAGGTCCTTAAGGACAAGGATTTCGTTAATGTTGGCTATGTTTCCTTTTCTTGTCTCAGATATGGATGCTAACTTGTTGAATATTATATTTCAGTGCAAAGGCAACAGATGGATACGAGCAAGCAAGGAAGAAGGTGGCAACATTCATTAATGCCAAAGAATCAAGTGAGATTATTTTCACGAGAAACGCTACAGAAGCAATCAATTTAGTGGCTTACTCATGGGGCCTCTCTAATATAACAGCTGGTGATGAGGTACACTACTACATGTCCATCTTTAATATTTGTCTGAAACCGGTGACTTGCAGTTATGGTAAACATATTTGATGTAAATTATGTCAATGATGTAAGCATAGTTGATTTCCCCATTTTTTCTTGATAGGAAAAATGGAAACTGTGGCCTAGATTATGTGCTACATAGAGAAATACTTCCAACAGGACAAACTAAATTTTTTTGAAGCAGTCAGAGTGTGTAAATTGGAAAAACTTATATCTGTATAATTCTTTGGAAGTAAAAGAGGGTGGATATTAGTAAAGTCGTTCCCTTCCTCAAATTCTACTCCGTTTTATACTTACACAATGATAATGGCATACAGTGTCTAAACTACTTGGGAGTTGAGGAGTGGGGACAACGAAAATTTTTGTAATATCATCCTTTTTCTGCTGCAAATTTGCTTGCAGATCATCCTTACTGTTGCAGAACATCATAGTGCTATTGTTCCATGGCAAATTGTAGCTCAGAAAACTGGTGCCGTTTTGAAATTTGTGAGTTTGACTGAAGATGAAGTTCCTGATGCCATGAAACTATTGGAGTTATTGTCAAAAAAGACAAAGCTTGTGGTTGTTCATCACGTCTCGAATGTGCTTGGTAAGCAAAGCTAATTTGTGCTTGATAGTTCTTTAGTAACTAACAATCTCAAAAAAAAAAAAAAAAAAAAAAAAGTAGATATAGCATTGGGAACCTCTCACAAGGGGAATACTAACTGGGATATGTAGTTAATATTGATGTCAGACAAATATCTTTGTTTACACTCTACAGAAATACACTGATTTTTGAGTGGCAGCACTCTTGTACACTATAGGGAAATATTCTCTAAGGTCCTTGAGTTTTGGTGTATTTTCAGAAAGAGTACTTGTCTCCGACTTAGCATTGATTCTGCAAGGCTCCCTATGCACAAGTGTGCAACTGAAGACCATATTTTTAGTGTTGGAAGATTCCTTGTCCTTTTCCGTGATACTTAATCATTGTACTTGAGAATATATCTGTGAAGTCTATTTATGACAAATAAAGTACAAAAAAAAAATTTACATCTTGTAGAGGCCTAGAGGGTACCTGATATAAAAATATTCTTTCAAGGTTCCTCAATTACAATCTTTGAGAATTGGAGATTCTCTATCAAATTATTGCATAGGTAATTTTTTTTTTTTGGTGTATTTTCAGAAAGATTCATGAATGAGGGACTGAACAAAGTGTAATTTTTTTTTTGTTCTTTCTTGCATAAGGTTTTTGATTACTTGGTACTTTTCAATTCATCTCTTGTAGCTTCAACTCTCCCCATAGTTGATATAGTGCGCTCAGCCCATGGTGTTGGAGCAAAAGTCTTAGTAGATGCTTGTCAAAGTGTTCCACATATGGTAGTTGATGTGCAGAGCCTTGATGCTGATTTTCTTGTTGCTTCTTCTCACAAGGTTTGGGTTTTCCCATAAATGCATTAGCAATCATTATTGAAATCTATTTAAACAATAAGTGAACAATGCTTCAGATGTGTGGACCTACAGGTATTGGATTCCTATATGGTAAAGAGGAACTCCTGGCAGCCATGCCTCCTTTCTTAGGTAGATTTTTTTTTTATTTATTTATTTCTTTTCTGCCTATAAAGTAATCAAGTTCTCTTGGCACTAGAGGCACTGTTATTCTTCTTACTCTGGTTAACTGCCTGAACATGTATCCACTTTTAGGTGGTGGCGAAATGATTGCTGATGTATATTTGGACCACTCCACTTATGCCGACCCGCCATCCAGGTAGGTGTCTTTTTTGAGTGAATAATTAGCAGCAGAAGCATATAGAGTTCCAAGCCACGTTAAAAGCTCTTCCAAAACATTATTTTTGCGCCTTTTTTTTTTTTTTTTTTTTTTTTTGCAATTGCTATCATATCATATTAATCTTCCTAGCTTTGAATGCTGATTGAATATTTGAATGTAGTATGTTTCTTATAACTAGTGCATCTTAATTTGTTACTGAAAATTTGGAATTTATGGACTACATGAACATGCATTGAAAATGTGAGATTTTATAATTGGTTTGTGTTGCCTAGATGAATTCTTATGTGCTGGTTCTAAGATTTGTTTTGATAATATGTTTCTATCTGTCTGAGTCAGATTTGAGGCTGGAACACCAGCAATTGGAGAGGCTATTGGCTTAGGAGCAGCTATAGATTATCTATCAGAAATCGGCATGGAGAAGATACATAATTATGAGGTTTGTTTCAGATCTTTAGCATAACACCCTAATTACAGCTTTGTATACTTTCATTGTTATATGAGCTAATATAGTCATGCGACTCGTGCCTTGGTCCAATTGGGAATTTCATTTAAATTTTGCATGCCTATGGAGTTTCAATATATTAAAGCTACTAAAGTCAAAATCAAGTGAAGCTTAAAGTTTCAAGGGCTTTCAACTTTTAATCTTTGGTGTAGGAACTTTATATGGACAAATTTTCTCTTTTTGAAGGATTTCCTAGCAGCATAGGCTTCTAAATATTGCTGTACAAGGTGTTATTATTAATAATGTCTGTAGATGGTTATAGCTGAGCTGTTGCCATTGCCATCTATATAGTGATGTTTGTGTCGATGCTTTAATTAATGGAAATAAAACATTTTTAACTCCTTATCCAAACTATATGACGGGGACTGGGAGGCTCATATTAGTGAAGCTAGTAAATGAAAGAATAATTTCGTATGCCAGCGAGGGTAGTGTAATGATTCGTCCAATGTATGCAAGACGCGGTCCCAAGGGTGATTGAGGTTAATAAAATTCTGCCTGAAAGCAGCTTGTGGCAGATTTGTTAAATGCAGTGTTGAATGTTGATGCAGTGAATGAAATAAAAGGGAGAGCTCTACAGAGAGTGTTATTTGTGTGATGCAATGTCTTTTCTTAGGAGACAATCTAAGCATCTCGAATGCTTAAAGCCCCTGTCATCTTCCTCAATGAATAATAACTAATGAAAAAAAATTACCCTTATCTCTAAATTCTTCTTAATATTCTCTGCTAATTACTTCTTGCTGTATTTGATTTATCAAAGGCTATTCACTTGGGTAATCTCAGATATTATTGACGATTTAAGCTTCACTATTGCATGGTCCTATTAAATGCAATGTCATTACTGCGTTACTTATTTGAAGTTTCATAATTTTCTCCAGGTGGAATTGGCTAACTATCTATATGAAAAGCTAGCTTCTGTCCCTAAAGTTCGGATATATGGCCCTAAGCCATCCCAGACAGTCCGGCGAGCTGCTCTATGTTCATTTAATGTGGAGAACATACATCCAACTGATATTGCCACGTTTCTTGATCAACAGGTACTAAAAAAAATTCCTTTATTTCAGCCTCATCTCATGTGATGGAGAGCCCCTTTATGAGCCATATTGCTAAGAATCAATATATGCCTCCTTATAACCTTGTAATTGGTGATCTCCACCTTTGTTATCAATAAAATCATATTTTCCTACATTCCCCTCATCTCATTGGCCATTGTCATCATGAGTTCTTAACCGTCTTTGTAATATCCTTAAATCTTATGCTCTGGTGTCTAGTGAGAGAATAGCTAAGGGTCATCTTGATTCTTTGCACAATTTAACTAATCTTAGTAGCAAACATGTTGTCTTTTCTGAAGCCTGTATGATTTCCTTCTTCTCTCCCTTTATTTTTTGCTATTGATGTAGCCTATGAATTACTGAAAAGAACAGAAAAATATAAACTTCTGCTTCTCATTTTTTCTTCAGCATGGAGTGGCCATCAGGTCAGGCCACCATTGTGCGCAGCCTTTGCATCGTCATATAGGAACAAATGCCAGTGCTCGTGCTAGTTTATACTTCTACAACACCAAGGAGGATGTTGATCATTTCATTGAAGCACTCGATGACACAATTACATTTTTCAGTTCGTTCATGTCTAGCTGAAAGCATTTCTGTTCAGGCATGTAGTCTGTTTTAGATGGTTGTTTGATCATTTTGTACATTTGGTGTGATTTTTATCATTTTTAACATTCAACACAGATTTTATAATGGTTTTGAGTAATAATAAGATTGTTGAATACGATCTTGTGGGTGAAGATGTGATTAGCCAATGTATATTTCTTCTAAATACTGAGGTCCTGCTATATATTTGTGGCGCTACTTTGGTCTTTTTTTCCAAAGGTTTGTTATGCAAAATCAGCGCTAAGTTTGGTGGCTTGGGTCATTGTCTTTTAATTTTGGTAACCAGGATTTTCGGAATGCTATACAAAAGAAAAATCTTCAAAACATACATTTAGGAATAAGTGGTCGGTGATATATGAATTAGGAAACTATTCTAAAATTTCTAATACAACTATACAAGTAGTTAAACTTCGTTCTTCCACCTGTCCTATGGAGCATCATCTAGGTTTTTTTTTTTTTTATTTTTTTTTAATGTGGGGTAGGTGAAAATCAACTTTAAAGTGAGATAGTTTTTTTTTTTTTTTTTTTTTTTTTTTTGGGTGCGCTTTAAAGTGAGATAGTTAAAGTAGAAAATATTCCTTTTAAAAAAATGTTAAAATAGAAAATACATTAAATGGAGATAAGAAAACGAAACAATCTTTAAGACAAACCTAATGTAAGGGTCTGTTCTCTTACGTTGAAATTCAATTTAGTTCAGTCAGTTCAGTTCAGCTTCTAATTTCCTTTTCTTATAAAATATTCAGTTCAGTTCAGTCAGTTCCTAATTTCCTTTTATTATAAAATATTCAATTCAGTTCAGTTCAGTTTAGTTCAGCTCAGTTCAGTTCAGCTCAGTTCAGTTAATGAGAACAGACCCTAAGATAGGACAAACTTTAAGGAATGAACTGAGTAATTGTTGACCATATAGTCATTTGATGCATGCATCTCATACATTTAATTATTTAAATCGAATCATATATTTTATTAGGTTAACCCGAAGTTACTAAGAGAAAACCGAATCCGAAGTCATCCTGATTTTATCAAAATATCAAATTTATTAAGTTTTACGAAGAACTTTTTAATCACAACTCGAAATCCAACCCGAACTCCACCTATGAACCAAATTAGATTTATACGGTAAAACATTGCAAATTTAAAAACTGGTTTACTGAATTTTAATGGTTTATATAATAAAAGGTGTAATTAAATCACAACGATTGGGGTGGTGGCGCAGTTGGCTAGCGCGTAGGTCTCATAGCTTCTGAGTAATCCTGAGGTCGAGAGTTCGAGCCTCTCTCACCCCAATTTTTTTTTTCCCTTTTTTTTTTCCACTAATTACTCGTATTAACTAACCTATTTTCATTTTAACGCCTATATACTCGGAGTCCTCCATTGAAGCGCCCTTCTCAGCTTTCTCTCTCCTCCATTCAACCGCCTTCTCAGGTAATTTCTTTTTTATCATCGAATTTGAATTCTTAAGGTTTAATTTCATACTGTTGTTAATTTAATTATAGGTATAATCAACTTAGGGTTCTTCTAAGGTGGAGTATTGAACTTTTGTTTATAATTGCTGAAGTTATTAAAGCATATAATGACCAATTTTGTTGCTTGAATGAATTTTGTTATGTGCAATTTACGTTTATATTCTTATAAGAGAAAAATTTGTGTAACTTTAGAGCCTAATTTGATGATTAACGACCAATCTTGTTGCTTGAATGAATTTTGTTATGTGCAATTTACGTTGATATTCGACAAAAATTATATGTAACTTTAGAGCCTGCTTTGATGATTAAGTTAAGTTTGATTGCTATTGTGTTGTAATTTTGAGCCTAATCAAATCATCGACTCGAGTGGGGAAATAGTGAGGCTATAGTGAGGTTCGAGCTCAAGTCTATTCCTATTTAGGCTTGGATAAGAAGATGAAGGTGCCCCTTTATTTCAGGGAGGTCATGTAGGTATTTTTTTGGTGTTCCACCCTAATCTGGATTTGGGATCAGTTATGGGTGGTTAGGTTCCAGTCCTCTCCCAATTGTTTCGTGTAGGTATTGGTTTGGGATATATTATCTAATTACTAATGTATTTGCTGCAGATGGCTAGATGGGATGAGATTTTAAATCTTCCCGTGCAGAGTCCTCCAACATTGGAGTTTAGTGCTTCGGATGTAGTTTGGTCCAAGGTAGAAGGATGGCGAGATAATATAGATAGGGTTGCTCTTATACCGTTTGCTAGGGTAGATGATTTTATTAGGGGTGAATCATCGAACAAAGATTGCCCGACTGGGTTTCATGTTGAGGCTAGGAGGCATCGAAGTGCAAAGGCGTCGTACAAAGTCAAGGTTGATGGGGTGCTTGAGTATATCTTGTGAGTTTCAGTTTCCTTGTTCTTTATATGGTTTACTTTTCTTCATTTCTTGAGCATTAACATTATTTGTTGCTATATCGTTTACATTGAATCTCACATTTGGAAATAAATTAGTCTATCTCTACTCATTTCAAATTTTGTATGCTATTGTTGGTTTTACATTTCAAAATTCAAATCTGACATTAGGAAGTCATATTAATTTAAACATTTCATATTTTGTATTTTATCGTTGACTCGTGGGCTACATATTGCCATACTGCTAGAGGGATCTCTTTCCTCAGTTTTATTTCTTATAGGGTTTGATTAATTACTTGAACAAAGGGATTCTTTAATTGGGTTAACTTTCATTTAATTTCAAATGTGGTGACAAAAAAAATGAGATGAGATTTGATTAGTACAGCAAAATTTGAATTTCCCCCCAGAGTTGCAACAATTGGGAGCCTAAATATTCACCATAAGTTTTTATCATCCTTGTAGGAATATTTCATTCATCTAATCATACATTCTTGATTCTTCTAATTCTGACTTCATTATGACCTTTTCACCCTATAGGTACTGGTGTTCCTTTGGGCCAGATGACCATAGAAAAGGTGGAATTGTACGGCCAAGTAGAAACACTTATATCCCAAAAAAGAAATCTGCTGGACGTCCAGGTACAAAAAGGGGTTGCACCTGTCACTTCATCGTGAAACGCCTCATTGCCCGGCCTTCCGTTGCACTTATCATATATAATCAGGATAAACATGTTGACAAGAGTGGATTACCCTGTCATGGTCCACAAGATAAGAAAGCAGCCGGAACTCGTGCTATGTATGCTCCATACATCTCTGATGATCTTCGCCTGCGTGTTCATTCCCTATTATATGTTGGTGTACCTGTGGAAACCATTATGCAGAGACACAATGAATCAGTAGAGAAACAAGGGGGTCCTTTCAATCGTGATGATCTTCTAACGCATAGGTATGTAAGAAGACAAGAAAAACGAATAAGGCGATACAAGTATGAGCTAGATGCTGATGATGCTGTTAGCCTGAGTCTGTGGGTAGCAAATCATCCGACATGCGTTTTCTTTTATCAGGACTTTTCAGAGTCTGAGCCATTCACAGTTGGAATTCAAACTGAGTGGCAGTTGCAGCAAATGATACGATTTGGCAATCGTGGTCTTCTAGCCTCTGACTCGAGATTTGGAACCAACAAATTTAAGGTTTGTTCTGTTTTCTTTGTTACTATTCTATTTCTTATTTAATGTATCCATACAATTTTAAACTGATTATGATTACCCTTCTAGTGACTCTGTTGGTTTATGTAGTATCCGGTTCACAGCCTTCTCGTGTTCAATTCAGAGAACAAGGCTATTCCAATAGCTTGGGTAATTTCCCCAAGGTTTACAAGCAGAGATGCATTCAAGTGGATAAGGGCTCTACACAACAGGGTTTTAACAAAAGATCCTGCATGGAAGTTAGCTGGATTTGTTATTGATGATCCTTTAACTGACACTGGGGCGATCAGGTATGTCTTTTGGATCTAAAAAACCATTCTGGACCTGGCTGATATGTCAACCTTGTCTTATAATGTTATTTACTGGTACTTGCTGTGATTTATGAAGTGTCAGAGAGCAGCAATTAAATAATTATCTCACCCTTTCGTTAAATAGATTCTTGCTTCAAATATATATATTTTTTTATTGATTTTTTTCCCCCCCACTGAGAGAGGAGGAAGTGGGGTGTTCACTTGTCAGACAACTTAGCATTTGACTTGATGCAGAGCACATATAAATTAGAATATGAAACATTAAGCACAATTGATTCGAGTAATTCGACCTTGTACTACAAAGCTTAACTTCATGTTTTCTAGTAGACCAACACTTTGTTTGGATTAAAGGATATGGAGGGAAAGGAAGAGAGGTGAAATGGAGCCATGAAGGGATGGATTATCTTTCATTTGGATAAAAAATGAGGAAGGGAGGGAATTAGAGAGGAGAGAAACGGAGGGAGTAAATTGTAAGAAATTGATCTCTCCAACAATAGAGAGGTTATTCTTCCCTTCCCTCCCCTTCTTTTCCTTCCCCTTTCTCTATCCAAACACAATGTATAGAAGTCCCACATCTCTCTGATCAACCTCTGAAATGTTTGGGCACATTCATCTGTAAAGGTTTTTAATTTTGGAATGGCAGCATCATGTCTGACGTTTCTGAGTAAAATTTTTAATTCAACTGGTCTGCAATTTAATTAAGGCCTTGGCCCCCCCTTCCCACAATGGCACTACCTGTAGTGCTATACCTATTGAATTTGTATTAGTTCTGAAGCACTTTTCTATTTGAGTGGGGCTATGGGCATGACCGTATAAATAATTATATAAAACTGGGAATTCTTAAAATGAGACCATTTAAATATTGAAGTGTATTGACTATGATTCTTAGGAAACATATAATTTTACTAGGACCACAAAAGCTGGCTTCTAGTATGATGCTTAAAAAATTGCTTCTACGTAGTGTTATAAGTTGATATAATGAAGTGTGCATCTTGCTCATACATATGGTGACTTGCTCAGGGATATATTTGAGTGCTCTGTGCTGATATCTACATGGCGTATCCGTCATGCATTGCATAAAGCCCTAATGAAGAGATGTTCTCAAACTGAAATGCGAGTTCAAATATCACAACGGCTTGGGCAGGTTATTTCAGAGATCTGCACTGGACAAGGAGATGTGACTTTGTTTGATGGTTTAATGGAGGATTTTACGAGTAATTCTGAGTTTATGGAATACTTCAAGGCTGTGTGGTACCCCAGAATTGGTTAGTCAAGAACTTTTTAGTGTATTGTTCAACTTTAGAGGAATGTGAGGACTTGGTGGCATCATTCTTTATATGTTTGTCTAGAGTATATTTTTGTAGTATACTTGTGCTGATTGCCTGGCTGAGTTTTCCAACCTCACTCAATAATGTATTTCTCACTCTCTTGTTATGACTTGTGAGTGCTTTTACCTTCTTCCTTAACAATGGTTTTCCACTTGCCAGGGTTTTGGGCTACTAGTTTACAAACCCTTCCGCTTGCCAGCCAGGAGATGAGTGCAGCGATTGAATTTTATCATTGTCAGATGAATGTAAGAGTATTAAATGAGATGGATCACAGTGCATATCAACGTGTGGATTGGTTGGTCGATAAACTGTCCACCCAAGTGCATTCTTACCTTTGGCTTGATGAGTGTCCAGCAAAGCATGATTTTGCCCGATATTGGAGAGATGAGTGGATGGATGGGTTAACATCTTGGCGCAATTCATTGAAGATCCCAGACTCTGATGTTATTTTAGAAGGTCAATTTGCCAAAGTCATAGACCAACAAGATCAAGACAAAATATATCTGGTATCAAATCCTGGTTCTGAATTTTCAATTTGTAATTGCACTGTGTCCGAAAGTGGTAATTTGTGTGAGCATGTTTGCAAGGTTAGCTGGTTATGTCGGAAAAAAAAGTCTTCAATACCTTCTCTCAGTTTGCACCAATACAAGCAGGCATTGATCAAAATGCTGTGTTGTACGCCTCATGATTCCTTGATTCGTGATCATGCTGTTTCTCTATCAGCTTTTCTACAGACACAGCTAAATGCTTTAGCAGATTTTGACAGCAGTGAGAGAAACATCAATGAGATTGAGCAGCAAGCAGGATTTACAATGTCTTTGGATAATAATATTAGTTTGGCCATCGGACAACAAGGTCATACTGTGGTTTTAAGCAATGCTAATAGTAGGTTGCTAAGCAAAGGGTCTGTTGAAAAAGGGTCATGTAATGATGGTGCATTTCATGATGAAATGGAGATTGACCCTTCATCTATATGTATCTCACCTTCTGGTTTATTTGCTATGCATGGAATTCTTCCTGCTGATAGTCTGTCAGTAAACGGGGACAAAACTCTTCTGTCAGATTCCCGTGGTATGATGGATAATGAAGCTTCAAAAGATTGTGACACCTCAGATCAAGTTGATCCAGATGTTATGATGGAAGAGTCTCTATCTATAGATATCCCTCTCTCTAAAGAGTCCCAAGATCTGTGTTCAGTTATCAATCATGATTATGATGATTGTGGGGATAAAGTTGCTGGAGCAGTCGATTCTATTGATGACAACACTGTTCTTAAGTTCTATAAGAGGTCAAAAACCGCTAAAACAGTTGGGCGTCATCCAGCAAAGAAACGGAAAACCACAGATAAAGAGGATATGAGGAAAGAGATATGACCACTGAAGTAATTTACTTGTTTTAGTGAGAAATAATGTGCTGACTTTGTTGGTAAGAAGCAAACAGAGTTTTTTTGCTGCAAGTCTAGTTCATGTGGAGGTTTTTGACTCAGGAAGACCCTCAATGTGGTTATTACTGCTTTTGAGGAGGTTGAAGATCTCTAAATTTCTACTAGTATGTGATGACAGGTATGCCTGCTGACGACATTGTTTAACCATGTTATGTATCTACAAGGAGCAGTTCTGAGAAGTTCTTGAAGGCTCAGCAAGTCCTGATGGGTTCTCGAGAAGAGAGGTAATGCAGCCATGTAGGGGCCTGTGCAACCAAGCAAATGGCATGAAACAAGAATTGTCTTGTAATTTCTGAGTATATGCCGTAATTTTAAAACATGATATAGGAATTTTGGTGTTAACTTTGTGAATAGAACGATTTGCACTTTTAGATGTTTGAATGTAACTAAAATGAAAACTTGGTTATGCTCTGCAAAGCAGTAAGATGTTGGAAATCATAGCAATGTGGCTATTTTGCCACCTTCTAGTAGTTACCATTTATTTTTATGGAGTTAAAATTTCTGTGGAAATTATTTTTGGAAATAAAATGCTTGTTCAACTTTATCCTGTCATGCATGATGCTGTGACTCTTATTCATGGGGAATGGATTAATGCTTATGTAAATCTGGACTGTCCCAATCTTGGCTGTAGCTAAAAGGAAAAACAAAAAAACACACATAGACAGAAATTCTACATCCCTTCACCAGTCACATTCCATCATGTTAACATTGATAAGGATCTAATTCATCAATACTTCAACTAGTACTGCAGCTACAACTGTGATCACCATTGGCACTCGAAGCTAAACTGTCTTGCATAGAGGATAAAATAGCTCTCGTAAAATCTAGCATTTATACAACAATAATGCTGCAAGGATAAGTAACATCCAAAACAGTTCGAAACACAAAATTGTAAGGCTAAACTACATCGAATAGCTTTAAAGGGACAAACGATAATGTGCAAGTCAAAATACATTGAGATTTCACAAAAAACATGATCAGACTAAATTCTAGAGCGCAGGTATATGCACACTAGAATCAGCAATACAAAGAAACAAAATCAGACTTGTTTGTTTCCAGCAGCCTTTTCTTCCTTCCCAAGAGCAATAACAAGTTTCTTTAATATTGCTTCAGTAGGCTGGTGAGCATTCTCAATTGCTTTTGAAATAGATTGCCATTTCTCACCATGCTTAGGCTCTGCAGCAACACAACGTTTCAGCACATCCTTCTGCAAGTCCTCAGTTCCATGCTGAAGTTCAAATTTGTAATACAAAGCCCAGAAATCTCCAACATCTGGAGCAAGTGTTACTGCCCTGTTGAGCCAGCTCCTTGCCTTGTCCACCTTCCGGTCATGCCAAAACAGCTTGGCTACAGCAGCAGTGACATGGGGATCCTGATCACACTTAGTAAGGGCATCTGAGCTCTTCGCTTTACGTTGAGGGCGAGGAGCAATCTCAATTTGAGTCGCCCATAATATACCACTGTTTGGACATTCTTGTAGAGCCTTTGCCAACAAGTTATCAGCCTCTTTCTTGTTGCCGTGCCTAAGTTCAGCTCTAACAGCAGCAAGCCACAGATCAGGGCTATGAGGATTCCTTTTCCTAGCCATAGTTAGAATTGCTCGAGCTTTACTCAGTCCAGTCATCTTCTCTTCAAGTTTTGCAAGTGAAAGCCATAGAGGAATACATTGTGGGCAGTTTTTATGACCAGATACATAAGCTTCTTTAGCCTTCTCTAGCTCTCCACACCGTTCATGAAGCTGTCCAAGCATCAACCACAACTTGAAGAATGATGGGAAGCGTTGCAGGCCTTCATCAAGCAGCCTCTTCTCTTCTGCAACATTACCAAGTTCTCTCTCTGCAATGGCGGATTTCATCCATACTCTTTCACTGCCACCTCTTTCTCGGGCCTTAGCAAGGAGTATTTTTGCCCTTTCAGGTTCATGGTTTTCAAATTCAAGTTTGAAAGCAGCAAGCCAAATCTCCTCAGAGTTTGGAATAGCTGCATAAGCTTCCTGGAGGATTGCTCGAGCAGCAGGCACATCACCAGCAATCCATTTTTCTTTAGCACCCATAAGCCAAAGAACTTCAGCTTGGGGCACATAAGTAACTGCTCTCCGTAACAAGGCATCAAGAGAATCCTTAGTTCCATGACTCTTCTCCAGTTGTGCTGCTTTAAGCCATATACTCTTCTTTGTCAAGAAGACAGAAATAGCATGAGCGTATATAGCCCTTGCAGTTTCAACAGACCCTCTCTTCTTGCATTCTTCAGCATCAGCTACCCATGTTCTCTTCCTATCTTCTTCCTCAACCCCAACACCAACAGTGTGTTTAATTATAGCTTGGCAGGTGACAACAGACCCAGCACGCTCAGCAGCCTCAGCTTCTTTCATCCAAGCTTCTCTGTTGATGACAACTCCCTCTCTTTGTAGGGCCCTGATACCCCTGTCTATGATCTTCTCAACCATTGTAATATTACCATTAGCTTCCTCCAACTTTGCTGCAGTAATCCAAATAGCTGACTCTTTTGGGAGATACAACCTGGCCCTGTTTAGCACTTTCTTTGCCGTATCATATGTTTCCAGCCTAGCAAGAGCAAGCCAGAATTCTACTTGCAAGGGGCAGGACTCCACAGCCCTATAAAGTAATATGCTAGCTTGCTCCTCATCAGCAAGCTCAATAACTGCCTTCCACAGCCTCACAGAACTAGCTATATGTTCAAGCCCCTTCCTTAGCACCCTACTCTTTTGTACATGATCTTGCTCCAATTTAGCAGCCTGAAGCCACAACTTCACAGAAGTTGGAATCATTTTAACTCCCCTAGCCATCACAGCCTTGGCGTCATCAGGGTTTGCCAAACGACAGGCCTCCAGCCAAACATCCTCGTTCTTGGGACACTCCTCACATCCCTTCTCAATTAACAATCTAGCCTCTTTAATCTTGCCAGCAACCTCCTCTAGCCTTGCAGCTGCTATCCAACCAGGCGGATGCTTTGGATTGGTTTGTATGACAGATTTTAATAGCAGCCTAGCCTTCTTAATATCTGAAATCTCTGCATCACTGGTAAGCTTCATACTTTTAAGATCAGTCAAATACCCTTTAGGATCAACAACCGTCTGCCCTGACACAGAATCAGATAACCTGTCAAGCTTCAGTGATAACACCGTACCCCTACCCTCACCAACGGCAGTCAAATCCGTAACAGGGGTCTGTGCCCAAGGTGTCTCTGTTCCACCAACGCCCCTACTCTTTGGATCAAGGGCCGTAACATGCTCTTTCTCCTGCCTAGCCTTCTCAAGAAGTGTATCAGGCACAGGCACAAAACTCTCAAACCTCTTCTTCTTATTCCTCATTGAATAATCCCCAATCTCAGGAAGATTGTCCCACTCCTCCACCGTCACAGTATGCAACTTCCTCTTCAAATCAGCAAACTGCTCAGTAATCTTAGGATTAGAAGCCCGATACTTCTCAATCTCTTCCTTCAATCTAGCCTCCCTCCTATCCTTCCTCCTTGAATCCATCCTCTTATCAATAGCCTCCCAGACCGCATCCGCCTCCTTATCGTCCTCATCGTACTCAGCCGAGGCAAACAAACCAACATCATTCCCCTCAAATTCATCAAAATTCTGATTCTCATCATACCCTTTATCCTCCCCTTCCTCCTCATCACCCTCCTCATCAGCTCCCTTCCCCTCCCCTGCCCCTGCCCCGGCCCCGGAACCTGCCCTCGTCCCCGCCCCCGCCCCTGCCCCATATCCGGAACCGCCACACTCCCAATCGGAGCAGCAGAGCGGTCAGGCATATCCATAACCGGTCTAGACGGCCCAATATCAGACCGGGTCGTAAACCCGGTAGCTCCACGACCCAACCCAGCAACATAATTTGATGGTGGTTTCAAATACATAAAATCAAGATTACTCTTTGATTGCACAGGAGCTTGCATACCTCCGCAAAAAGGGATATACAGGGATAAAGTTGAATTCAATTGAATACCCAAATCAGCAATTAAACAATCAAAATCCCCAATTAATCTTTTGGATGATGATAACAAACATTGTCGTTCAATTGGGAGGCCTAATCTATCAAAAATAATCTGGTGAAGATTCCCTAAAGTAGTTGAATTAGGGTTTACATGAAGAACTAGGGTTTTATTGTCAAAAGTATTGAGATAAACCATGATTGTAAAATTGAGAACAAGTACCTGGAAACGGAGATGCTACCTTAATCGTCGATGAACTCTTCGATTTGCAGAGAAATGCTGTAGTCGTAGAGTGTAGAGGATACAGAATTTTGTTTTCCACAAATGAAATTTTTTTTGGCGGTTCTTCGAGAATCCAATTAACCTTTACTCCGCATTAGGCTATGGTAAGTCGGCTATGTTAGAGCAAGTTTAGCCCACATCATTTTATGTGGTCTTATTGAAATGATGTCATCGAATTCTTGTTAAAACTCACTAAGATTTACATAAATTTATCAAAATGATATCATCAAGTTTAGCAAGTTTAAGATTTGGGGTGACATCATCATTTTGAGTCTTAAGATTTATACTTGAGACTTTTCCCATTTTCCTTCAAAAATCAAGTCTCAAGTTGAGTCTTGAAATTTTAAAACTTATCTTAAAACTTGAGATTGGGATATACTTCACTTTTATTTTTATTATCCTTTTTTTTCTTTTACACTTTTCTACATATAATATGTCAAATATTTAAGTTTTAGGGCTGGGCGGCGGATTTCGGGGTCAAGGGAGATCAGGATTAGGGTTTTTCGGGGCTTGGGGAGGTTTTTTTCGGTGGGATTTGTTAAACATCGCCCGCAAATCTCCACATAAAGCCCACAAAATTCACTTGATTTGACAATATTGCCCTTGACCTAAAAAAAACACTCACACTCTCATCACTCACACTCTCATCGCTCATCTTCTTTCAACATCTCAAAAAAAAAAAATATATTCAAACAACGGCAATGTCGAGGCGGCAAGGCAAGGAATTGGCGGCGGCGGCGGAGGGAAGGAGGTCTCAAGGAGGCAAGGTACAATTTGTAAAAAAAAAAAAGGGAAAACCGCCGTGACGGAGGAGGGGCGCCTTGGCCGGACGCCAAGCCAGCGGTGGTGGCGCCAGCTGCAGAAGCCGCAACCAGTAGGATGGCGCCTGGGCTGGACGCCATAGCCACGGTTGTGGCGTTTATTCAAAGCGTCGCAGCCGTGGCTATGGCGTCCAGCCCAGGCGCCAGCCCACTGGTTGCGGCGTCTGCAGCTGGCGCCACCACCGCTGGCTGGGCGTCCAGCCAAGGCGCCCCCCCCCCTTTTTTTTTATATTTGTATTAAAATATTTTTTTTTTGTGTAATATCTTTTTCAATTGTTTTTATATTTTGTTGTTTATTTTTATAAATTTTTTCAATTTTGTTGTATTTTTTCTATGTTTATATTTTGTTTACAATTATTTGTTTGTTTTATTTGTACATTTTAAAAATACAACTATTTTTTCTATGTTTATATTTTGTTTACAATTATTTGTTTGTTTTATTTGTACATTTTTATTTTTATTCTCAATTTCAATTTGTTAGTACATTTTTTTGTTCATTTGATATTGTTTTTGGTTAGTTAATTTATTTTAATTTTTATTATTGATATTGTTTTTGGCTAGTTAATTTAATTTAATTGGGAATGAATTATTTATGTTTATATATATTCTTATGTGTTGGTTTTATTTCCTTTCTTAGTGTATTTTTTATTCTATTATTTTTATTTAAGTGTTTTGTTAATTTCTTTATTATGTTAATTTGTTAGTATGTTTTTAGTTTATTTGATTTGGGTAGTGGTAGCTATTTTTCGTATAATTTTTTGTATGTTTATATATTTTTAAATTTTTTGTAGAATTCACTGCGTCATCATGGTGCGGGGAAGAATGTAGAGCTTCTTAGTAGAAGCTATTCAGTGGAGAGGTCGGGGCATAGACATGTTAGATCCCGTGGTATTTCGGCCTCGGCTCGTAGAGAACGGATCCACCGTCGGGATGAGGATGACGATGACGATGATGATGCTGAGGAGGGTGACCAGGAGGAGGAGTAGGAGGAGGGCGCGGATGAGGATGAGGATGTGGACGATGGCAGTGGACCGTATGATGATTACGGTCCAATCAATCAGAGGGTTGATGACATGTACGAGACACATATGGTGGAGGTGCGTAAGGGTAGGGGTGGTAGGTTTGTTAGTAGATCTGGCACATCATCTGCGTCCACTGTATCTGGGGCAAGCAGGAAACGGTCGAGGGTCGTTAATGATTCTTGGGTTGTTAGGAGTGAGGTGCCCGGTGGGCCTGTTGACGGGAGTGTGATTCCTAGCTTTCTAGGACACATAGCTGCCCGTATTTGGGAGGACCAGGAGAGGCCTTCAGTTACGGGGTTGTTGAAATGTCATACCCGGGAAAAGACTTGTAGCTTTTTGCGTACATGGGCTGAGGCTTGGCCGGCGGAGAGCGAGATGTTCGAGCGACTGGAGGGCACTGGGGTGAATCACGTTCCTGCCACCATGCACGATAAGATTGACAGTACGCTGATCACGGCTTTCATTGAGCGATGGCAGCCGGATACAAACTCTTTCCACCTTCCGTTCGGTGAGATGACGATCATGTTACATGACGTCGAGGCCATTCTGGGGATTCGTGTTGAGGGTAAACGACTTTGTGCTGTGGCTGATGCGGATCAGGCAGATTTGCTGGCGGAGTTGTTGGCGGTGGACAGGGATGCACTGTACACCGAGGCGCTTGGTGTTTGGGAACACGGCGGTGTGAAGATCGCATCCGTGTTGCAGCGGTGTTTGTACCCCAGTGCACGTAGGACGCACGACGCACAACTGAGTGCTTATGTTTTTCTACTCCTCTGATGTACCTTGTTTCCGGATAAGAGCGGCGGAAACAAGCTCAGGCCACGCGACATAGTAGAGGCGTGTGACCCCGACAGTGTAGGCCAGTTTTCCTAGGGATCGGCTACGTTGGCGTATTTGTATCGTGATGGGCGTGCGAACGGTCGTACATTCCACACTCAATCAAACACATTTATTAACAAACACCTTACAAACCAAGCATAATGACAAGTAAGAGTTCGGTCCACAAGGAACGGGATATGATTGCCAAAGATCTTTACACTTAAGCTAACTCGAAGTCAATTGGTGAATTGAGGTTCGTCTAGAAGACAAACAAACTATGGTTCTAAATCAATGAATTAAAGATACTAGGGAATGAGATCCACTCAACCAAGGCAAATAGGCAAACGGGGAGTAAAATAGACAAGATATAGCAAGGACTATATGTAAAATCAACCTCATGCAATTAGAAAACAACTCACACTACTAAACTTAGATTCCTCATTAGTTTAGCAATAGATGATACATAATCAAATTACAATAAGTAATGACGTACTCAATTTACACTTCCATGTCAAATTAGGCATATCATACTATCAAGCTCCTTAGTCAAGGGTAGCTAAACCTATCATGAGGAACTAACAAGCAATCTCATATTATCAATTTAATTGCAATTCAAACATCAATGCTTCTCCCACATTTGCATAGTTAACCCAAAAGGTCGAGCTTCACCCAACCCCTAGCAAGAAGACTACTCACAACTCATGTTTATCAACATGCAATCAAGAATTAGGGTTCTAAATACTTCAATAATTGGGGAAAAGTGGTTAACAATTGAAATAACTATCATCTAATAACAAATTACCAAGAACTAGGAAGATTTAAATAACATGCAAATACCAAATAAAATCTGAAATTAAAAGGAAGAAGGTTGGAGAAATTACTAATTGAAGCTTCAAATGTTGAATACAAATTTCCCAACTTTGAGAATAATTCTTGAATTTCACTAATACAATGATTTGATTTTATGAAAACTAAGCTAAATTAATCCTAAGGAATGTTTCAAACTAAGAGAGGTTTCTGAAAACTAGGCTACTGTCCTCCTTCTCCCGTCTTTTTTAAACGATCTCAAAAGGACCTTAAATAGTCCGTACAAAATTGGCTGAGATCGAGAAAAGGTCCGACCGAACTCTGGGTAAGTTCGGTCGGACTCAGGGTAGGTTCGGTCGAACCCTGTGTAGGTTCGGTCGAACCTCCCTGATCCTTGTTTGGTCGAACTTTTGAGGTTCGACCTCTCCTGCAAAATTGCTGAAAACAGGTTTGACACTGCCTTCACTGCACCCTGGAGGTTCGGTCGAACTTTTGAAAAGTTTGACCACACCAAGGTTCGACCGGACCTTTCAGAGGTTCGGCCACACCTCCTCTTGCACTTCCTTTTCTTGCTTCCTCTCCTTCCCTTTTTCTCCTCTTGCCTTTGTCCATGGCTTCCATGCTTGGCCAAGGGGCCTCCCACCGTGCATAGGACCGTCACGGAACCTGCAGAAGATACCAAAGTTCACGAGAGCATGGGGATGATAAAATAATGCATAAAGATTATCAAAATAAGCATTACTTTTCATCAACACAAAAAGAAGCCATAAGAGGATAATGAGGTGGAAAAACCTAAGAAAAATAAGAGGAAAAAGACCTAAATACTACCC